GCAGCAAACATATAACTTTATAAACTTTAAGAAACAAGATATGTTTGTAAAACATGTATGCCCCCTATCGGCAGCCAATTTGTCATGTGATCAGGTTATTATGCATGACTTCTGACCCAGTGATCAAACAATTAATAAGGGTTATCAAGTATCTACTGGTCATGACCTTAACCTTTGACCCCTTGACCCAAAACTCAATAGGGGTCATCTGCTGGTCACGACCAATCATCATACAAAGTTTGAAGTTCCTAGGCCTAAGCATTTTTAGTTAATTGATCAGAAACCGTTTTTTACCTACAAGGTCAATGTGACCTTGACCTTTGACCCAAAAATCAATAGGTCATCTGCTGGTCATGACCAATCAACATACCAAGTTTGAAGTTCCTAGGCCTAAGGGTTCTTAAGTTATTGATTGGAAAGCATTTTTACCTACAAGGTCAATGTGACCTTGACCTTTGACCCCTTGACCCAAAACTCAATAGGGGTCATCTACTGGTCACGACCAATCATCATACAAAGTTTGAAGTTCCTAGGCCTAAGCGTTTTTAGTTAATTGATCGAAAACCGTTTTTACCTACAAGGTCAATGTGACCTTGACCTTTGACCCCTTGACCCAAAAATCAATAGGTCATCTGCTGGTCATGACCAATCACCATACCAAGTTTGAAGTTCCTAGGCCTAAGGGTTCTTAAGTTATTGATTGGAAAGCATTTTTACCTACAAGGTCAATGTGACCTTGCCCTTTGACCCCTTAACCCCAATATCAATTGGGGTCATCTGCTGGTCATGACCAATCACCATACCAAGTTTGAAGTTTCTAGGCTTAAGGGTTCTTTAGTTATTGATCTGAAACCGTTTTTACCTAAGAGGTCAATGTGACCTTGACCTTTGACCCCAAAATCAATAGGGGTCATCTACTGGTCATGACCAATCACCATACCAAGTTTGAAGTTCCTAGGCCTTAGGGTTCTTTAGTTATTGATCGGAAACCGTTTTTGCTTACAAGGTCAATGTGACCTTGACCTTTGACCCCTTGACCCCAAAATCAATAGGGGTCATCTACTGGTCATGACCAATCACCATACCAAGTTTGAAGTTCCTAGGCCTAAGGGTTATTTAGTTATTGATCAGAAACCGTTTTTGCTTACAAGGTCAATGTGACCTTGACCTTTGACCCCTTGACCCCAAAATCAATAGGGGTCATCTACTGGTCATGACCAATCACCATACCAAGTTTGAAGTTCCTAGGCCTTAGGGTTCTTTAGTTATTGATCGGAAACCGTTTTTGCTTACAAGGTCAATGTGACCTTGACCTTTGACCCCTTGACCCCAAAATCAATAGGGGTCATCTACTGGTCATGACCAATCACCATACCAAGTTTGAAGTTCCTAGGCCTTAAGGTTCTTTAGCTATTGATCGGAAACCGTTTTTGCTTACAAGGTCAATGTGACCTTGACCTTTGACCCCTTGACCCCAAAATCAATAGGGGTCATCTACTGGTCATGACCAATCACCATACCAAGTTTGAAGTTCCTAGGCCTAAGGGTTCTTTAGTTATTGATCGGAAACCGTTTTTGCTTACAAGGTCAATGTGACCTTGACCTTTGACCCCTTGACCCCAAAATCAATAGGGGTCATCTACTGGTCATGACCAATCACCATACCAAGTTTGAAGTTCCTAGGCCTAAGGGTTCTTTAGTTATCACTCGGAAACCATTTGGTGTACGGACCGACAAGTGCAAAGCAATATACCCCCTTTTCTTCGAAATGGGGGCATAATAATACATGCTCTTCAAGCAAACACTAAACCCTGGATTTAAATTTATCAAAATTTTTTACTTTATATATGTATGGGAAAAATACAAAATGTACAGAAAAAATATATACAAGAGAAACTAGAACTGCCACTATCATGGCATGAATACCCCCGCATACCACTTTGTCAGAATCAACAGTGGCCATTTAGAGCTCAAGGACAACCTCCCTGCCAAATCTGAGGTTACTAAGCCAGTGCATTACTAAGTTATGTATTCTACATGCTTCAAATGTGAAAATGTCAAAATCAATACACTGCAGACAGGCATTCTTAAGCAATTGAGGGGAAACGCTTTTTTTTGTCAAGGTCCCTGTGACCTTGACCTTTGACCCAGTGACCTCAAAATCAATAGGGGTCACCTTATGGTCATGATCAACCTCCATGCCAAATATGAAGACTGTGGGTCAAAGGAATCTTAAGTTAATGGGCAGACAAACTTTTTTAGTCAAGGCCCAGTGTCCTAAAAATCAATAGGGGTCACCTATTAATCATGACTAACCTCCATGCCATATATGAAGACTGTGGGTCAAAGGAATCTAAAGTTATTGGACGGACAAGCTTTTTATAGTCAAGGCCCCTGTGACCTTTGACCTGGTGCCCTTAAAATCAATAGGGGTCATCTCCTAATCATGACTAACCTCCATGCCAAATATGAAGACTGTGGGTCAGAGGAATCTAAAGTTATTTGGCGGACAAGCTTTTTAGTCAAGGCCCCTATGACCTTGACCTTTGACCTGGTGACCTCAAAATCAATAGGGGTCATCTACTAATCATGACTAACCTCCATGCCAAATATGAAGACTGTGGGTCAAAGGAATCTTAAGTTAATTGGGGGACAAGCTTTTTGAAGTCAAGGCCCCTGTGACCTTTGACCTGGTGACCTCAAAGTCAATAGAGGTCATCTACTAATCATGACTAACCTCCATGCCAAATATGAAGACTGTGGGTCAAAGGAATCTTAAGTTATTGGGCAGACAAGCTTTTTGAAGTCAAAGCCCCTGTGACCTTGACCTTTGACCTCAAAATCAATAGCGGTCATCTACTTATCATGACTAACCTCCATGCCAAATATGAAGACTGTAGGTCAAAGGAATCTTAAGTTATTGGGTGGACAAGCTTTTTGAAATCAAGGCCCCTGTGACCTTGACCTTTGACCTCAAAATCAATAGGTGTCAACTTCTAATCATGATTAACCTCCATGCCAAATATGAAGACTGTGGGTCAAAGGAATCTTAAGTTATTGGGCGGACAAGAAAAAAATGACGGACAGCCGGACGGACAAGCTGATTCCAGTATACCCCCCTTACAACTTTGTTGTGCGGGGGTATAAAAACACAAGCTGTCTGCAACAGTTTTTAAATATATATTGATTACCTGAGATATTGACTATTGCATAAAGTGATTTAAAGCTGCATGCCTCCAGATGAACCAAAATATTTCAAGAAAATCACTTGAGAAAACATTTATAAGATTTTAAGAAAATAAAAAAATGATTCAAGCACTAATGTATATTTTATGTGTGATTAATAATGACTGATTTTGCAATATCAATCACCATGATTTTACTTTGAGACTTACACAGTAAAGGCTATTTTTGCATATTTTGACATCCTGTGGCTTTTAAGTGCCATTTGCAAAGTGTATATATCTTTCTTTGTTCACTTCACAATATTTTACTTCTAAATAAATTTTCATGAAAATTAGCATCATTCTGGAGACATACTTTTTTAAACGTACCGGTATTGATATAAATTTAATAAATAAATAATGTTATGAAGGACTACTAAAATATATTTATCTAATTAAATCTATTCAAATCAAAACATCAAAGCTTTTAAATATGCAGTGACATTACCTTTATATATCCTTTATCTTAATACAAAACAAGAAGCGCCGCAATACGACGAAAACCAGGTTTTCAACGACCAAGTTTTGATGTGACAACAATCAATAGGTCAAAGTGCACTGAAGTTATTGAGTAGATACTGAAAATTCTATTGTAAGCAAATTACGCTGACCTTGTACCCAGATATCTAAGTGGCAATCCAAAGCTGCCACTCAGCAAGTTCAGTGTCAAAAGGTCAAAGCAAACAAAGTTATAACATGAAAACTAAATGCATTAACCTTGATCACAGACACCTGGTAGCAATCCCAAGCTGCCTCTTGATATAAGCTACCCATTCATCAAGTTGGTGTCAATAAGCAAAGCAATCTCAAGTTATTGAGCAGAAACTGAATTCTATTTTTAATAACAGTGACCTTGACCTTGAATCACAGACACCTGGGTACCAATCGCCAAGCTGCCCTCTTGATTAACCTATCATACACCAAAGTTTGGTGTCAATAGGTCAAAGCAATCTCAAGTTATTGAGCTGACACTGAATTTCTATTTTTAGTAACAGTGACATTGACCTAAGATCACAGACACCTGGGTACCAATCCCAAGCTGCCTCTTGATATTATAAGCTAAAACCATACGACCAAGTTTTGGTGTCAATAGGCCAAAGCAAACTCAAGTTATTGAGCGGAAAACTGAATTTCTATTTTAGTAACAGTGACCTTGACCTAGATCACAGACACCATGGTACCAATCCAAGCTGCCTCTTGATATAAGCTATCCATACACCAAGTTTGGTGGTCAATAGGCCAAAGCAAACTCATGTTATTGAGCGGAAAACTGAATTTCTATTTTTAGAAACAGTGACCTTGACCTTGATCACAGACACCTGGGTACCAATCCAAGCTGCCTCTTGATATAAGCTATCCATACACCAAGTTTGGTGTCAATAGGCCAAAGCAAACTCAAGTTATTGAGCGGAAACTGAATTTCTATTTTTAGTAACAGTGACCTTGACCTGGATCACAGACACCTGGCTAGCAATCCCAAGCTGCTTCTTGATATAAGCTATCCATACACCAAGTTTGGTGTCAATAGGCCAAAGCAAAACTCAAGTTATTGAGCGGAAACTGAATTTCTATTTATAGTAACAGTGACCTTGACCTTGATCACAGACACCTGGGTAGCAATCCCAAGCTGCCTCTTGATATAAGCTACCTACACACCAAGTTTGGTGTCAATAGGCCAAAGCAAACTTAAGTTATTGAGTGGAAACCAAAAGTTGACGCCCGCCTGCCTGCCCGCCCGCCGACTTCGGCATTACAATAACCCGGTTTTCGTTGAAAACCTGGTTAACAAAATTTTATTTACAGAATGAAATAAATGGAAATAAAATATATTTTCTTAATGAAAAAAGTGCACCACAATATACAAGTAAATTGGAACAGTTGGGTAAGATAGCCCCATTACTCTTTGAACAGTCAAGCTAAAAATGATTGGTATAAAATTTTCCAAGGAAATAACTATAAGTCTAATAAGATACTCACTTATAAATTATGCATTGTTGACAATGCATACATTTAAGTAAGTTGCATGTAAGTTTAACAAAATATCTGTAAATTATTAACTTGCAGATGTGTTAACTACATGTATAACTAAACAAATTTTTTTCTTCCATGCCTTCCCTACATGATGGTTTCTTGTTATAACAAAAGTTTTAACAATATCAAACAAGAAAATTCTGACCACACAAGCCAAGTCAAACCAACTTGAGGAGTACCTTTATACTTTCAGTAGGGCTATGTACTATGAATCAACCTTTAATGATTGTTCCTATGTCTTTCAAATCTAGTGTAGCCATGTCCACGGGAACATAATTATCTACCCTTGAATCCCGATAACTCACATTCTTTCTGTATTTTGTTGCTATGGAAACAAAGTCATCCTCTGACAGACTGTCAACACATAACTTAGAAACACCTTCACGATCAACTCTCTCCATCAAATAATCCAGCCCCGATCTTAGAATATCTTTACAAGCTATCTTAACATCTCTCAATTTGTACTTTTGCTGCATTTGAAAGTAGTTGCTAGGTAATGTTATTTTATAGAAGTAGTATGGATAAACAGGGCTGTAGCTACTCTCCGATTCATAATCTGTTATTCCGTCACGATTTACAGCGTTTCTATGGAAATGGTCGTTATGAAGATGTAGTTGATGTCGAAGTTGACCAGAAAAGTCGCAAGACTCACACTTAAATCCTATACCAGGTGATAACCCTGTAAAAACACATTTTAAAATTGTTATAGACATAGATATATAGCATCATTATCTCAAATTGAAATCTCATTATGGTAGTCTGGACACCAAGTTAAGTACTTGAGATGGTGGAAAAACCCATTTTATTAACAAAATATAGCTATTTCTGTTTTTTATGAAATTTCTAAAATGCAGATTTAATTAAAATTGTTCAAACCCAGACTTCAGCACATCTCAGCAGTAGATCTTGATAATTAAAGAACAAAATGTATGTTCTTCTAATTTTCACAACAAAGTGAAAGAAATATTAAAATGCACTGCTTTCAAAAATAGCAATTAAACACAATATTCCCTGCCAAACCGGGCTAACCACTGTTTCCAACTTGCTATATATATGACTGAAATATTAATCAACTCATTTTCAGAGCTCCAGATAAGCTTTTGACCCAAAGAGTTTTTACCCCCAGTTTTTTTTTGAAAGGATACTTTAAATTTCAGAACTTATTTTCTCACATAGTACTCACAGAGTTAAATTTGGTCAGATGCGTATTTCATTATTTATAGTGCTTAAAATACCCAAATTCCAGTCTTATCTGGAACTCTACATGTTATAAAGAGACATACTTGCACGAGGTGTTTTGAGACGTACAACATCCAACTCTCTATTCTGGTGCTCCTTATAATGATGCAACACAACCAAGTCTACTTTCTCTGAACGAAACTTGCACCATCCACATGCATATATCTTAGTAACATTTCCAGCTTTCTGTTTACCTGAAATGTATTTGGTATAGAGAAAAAATACATGGACTCCTTTGTGACATGCTCAATTTATGCAAAAAATTCATTGAACAATATTACATAACATTCATTAAAGTTGAATACAATTCCCACCTTCTTCAAGAATATATACTGTGTCCCATTAAACCAAGCCGTTTTGCAAGTTTTAAGTCATTTTCAATAAAGGCATAGTTAATTTTTACAAGGAATATTTAAGTTGTACAATAGAAAAATAAATTCCAAATCATTTTCTTTAAGATTAAACAATGCTGATTTGTTGCTCTGCAGGGATATAAGATAAACATAGTGCTACCTGAAGTTTTTGTCTTCTTTGAATGTGCTGTATGACTATCCATATCATCAGATACTGGTTTTTTCCCACTCCGTTTCATAAGATAAAACAGTCTACCATATAACTTATTGTAACACTTCACACATAACTTTTTTCCATCCTCTTCTAATGCTGAAAAGTACATGTATATTTAAATTCCAAAGTATCAAATTACTCAAATGTAGGTGTATGACCAAACAAACTGTTTGACATAGGCCCCAATGTGTTCCTCTCATAATTATTTAAGACTAAATCAGGTACACAAAATAAAACCAACAACCTACTTAACTGGAAAAAAAAACTAGAAAGGTTTTTGTCACAAAAACATATGTCTCCCAAAACTAATTATGGTCACTCATGTGAAGTTTTTCTATTCTTTTTAGCTCTGGCGGCCATTTTCTGCTACGAAGTGAAAGGTGCTGGTAATGTGCACAACTTATGTTGTTTCTGATCACTCCTGTTAAGTTTGGTTGAAATCCCACTGTGTCGGCTGGACAAGATATTTCTATTTTTAGTTCTGGCTGCCATTTTGTACAGGGAAGGGGAACGTGCCATTGATGTGCACAACTAGGGTTGGTACTGATCACTTATTAAAATCAAACCAGTCATTTGACCTTCGAAGGCCAGTCAAGCTTAATGCGGATGGATGGACAACCAGACAGACATCTGACTGAACAGGGATAAAGGGCCATTTCTATTGTTATTTTCTTTTGTTTAATAGAGGGCCATGCCCCCTTATTCTATTATTACAGAAAGAATTCTCTTTTGTTCTGTTTACAGTTAGATGGCCCCCTATCCCTATTCGGTAGTGCGGACAGACAAACGAGACAGCAAAGGCAAAAACAAATAGGTCTCCCAAAATTTTTGGGAAACATAATTATCTAGAGTAGAACATTACTGTAACATATTCTTTTAGGTCATGGACCTTTATCATTTGGCCATTTAAAAAATAAATATACATGTATATTACACTGTAAGATAAAGGGCTTTCTCAATGTTAAGTTTTATAAGTAAAGTCTTCAACATAAATCAGCTATATAGAGGTCACTGCTCTACAGAGGGTCACTCTCCACAGGTTACACAGTATTGACATATATTTGAGCCACGCCATGACAAACCAACATAGTGCGCTTGCGACCAGCATGGATCCAGATCAGCCTGCGCATCCTCGCAGTCTGATCAGGATCCATGCTGTTCGCTTACAAACCCTATACCAAGTAGAGAAACTGATAGCGAACAGAATGGATCCTGATCAGACTGCACAGATGCGCAGGCTGGTCTGGATCCATGCTGGTCGCAAACGCACTATGTTGGTTTTGTCGTGACGGGACTCATATGCAGCTACAATGCTCGTAACTAAACCTTAAGTTTGATGATAATTACAAATTTTTGTCATGCTGTAAACTATGCAAACTGTGATATAGTCATATAATTGTTGTATGAATCAACTGTTCAGAAATCATATTACATGTTACCTATCTTACCTTGGATACTTCTGTACTAAAGAAATCAAATGATTCTAACAACAGGGACTCAGCACAGTAATGGTATAGTGATAAAAAGTAATTCTAGAAAAAAATATATACTTTTTATATATTTTTTTCTAGAATTAATTTTGATACTATACCAATACAGTGCCAAGTCCCTGTGATTCTAACAGCAGATAGATAACAAATAATATTACCTAAAGAAGATCTTAATTTTCGTTGACTCTTTTTATTCGCTTTAAAAAAACGGAATGGAAAATTCCGCAAGAGCTGTTTTGTATCTCTGTCCGGACATGTTAACGAGGCACACTTGGTGAATTCTTTCAACTCGGCATTTAATGTTTCTTTACTAGTTGTCTGTATGAAGTCTTTATTTTCCAAATTACACTTTATTGGCGGTGTATATGTGCTCTCATTTTCTCTAGTATTCAAGTCATTGCTTGTTACAACTGGTCCCTGGTTCATCACTACGTTAAAGTCACGATTTTCAGCAACACTGTTTTCTACATCAGGATTTTGATGATTGCTTTCAAAATTATTATTTACAGCTGTTGTCATATCATCAGAACATTTGCTGTCTCTCAACTGATCTTCAAGCTGTTTCTGCCTGTAAAATAAAGCTGATTTGTCCAAAACTGTAAAGTACTACTATAACCTTCATCATTTAAGTTATGTAATTAATCAGCCATGCCTTAAATTTCAGACATTGTTGATTTAAAGATCCTGTATGTTGTAATAAAGGTTGTTACCACAATAAAGTGAAATTTTAAATATGTATATAATCATTCTTCTAAAACAATTTCAAAACATCAAAGAATATGTTGAATATGTACTGCAGTTGTTTATTTGCATTATCAGGAATAATTAAAATCTATGCATTCAATTCTTATTGAAAAATTTGGCTTAGACTTTATCGAAAATAGATTTCTAATTACCTCCCTTTATTTACATGAAATGTTAAATTTGGTAATATCTTTACAAATCTTTTTTGAACTTACAATATTGATAAATCTTCATTTGAGAATTAGATTTATGATATAAATCCACAAAAAAATGAGTCACAAGATCTAGTTTAGTAATCAATTAGCCATGCTTTTAATGTTAGCTTTAGATATTGACAATCTAAATGATTTCAGTAATGAACTGAAGACATATACAGCATATAGTCTTAACAGACAGTACAAATTAAGCTGGCTATATTCTTTTGGCATATGTCACAGTATAGAAATTTAACAGTAAATCAATACAGGCAGGAAAAATGTTTTAAGCAGCCTCATAGGCTCAGTAAGTTAAGTTGTTGAACAATATTTAGTGGGCCCAGACTACGTATTTTTTTCTCATCTTGTGACATAAGTCACATTATTTTATACTTCATGTCATGATTGCTGTAAGTAATCACAAAAAGATAAAAAAACATATTTGAGCCGCGTCACGACAAAACCAACATAATGCGTTTGCGACCAGCATGGATCCAGACCAGCCTGCGCATCCGAGCAGTCTGATCAGGATCCATGCTGTTAGCCTACCAACCCTATTACAAGTAGCAAAACTGATAGCGAACAGCATATGCATGGATCCTGATCAGATTGCGCGGATACGAAGGCTGGTCTGGATCCATGCTGGTCGCAAACACATTACGATGGTTTTGTTGTGACGCAGCTCATTTGTGTTAAACAACAAAATGTAATGACATGGTTTATAAATATGAAGTTACCTCCATGTCTTCATCTTCAACAGGTTTAAATGACATGTTTTACAGACAATATTATCCTGGTGAAGGTCATTTTCTAGGACATCATAGCTTAAACACTCGGTAGCTGATGTGTAGCACCAGTTATTTTTGTCATCACTACACACCTTGTGGCAACTTACACATACTCTACCACCTAAAAAAGTACAAAATACAAATAGCATAAAACATAAATATTAAAAAGTGTCTACTCTAGGAGGGGCAATAGGGGGATTCATGTGTTGTTTTCTTTCTTGGTTCAAAGCATTAAGTACCGTGAACTAAGAGGAGCACAGTATAATATTAATAAATTCTCACTTTTCGATATAATTAAATCCCCCGTTTTTGATGACTGCATAAATCTCTAAAACCAGTCTTTAACAGCGTTTCAGTAAAGAAATAGGTATGTTTTAAATTTCAAAATGACTTTAGAATGCAAGTCAAACATCCATTTTGCAGATTTGCAAAAGAATGTGATAACAAAATTTTGTTTCGAAATCTCAAGTCGTTCAAATGAAATCTAAAACAATGACCTCATATTATCATATGACATGTAAGGTAGAAAGATGGAGGAAAATTGATTGCATCTTACCATTTACTTCTGACACAGACTGCTTTACTTCCATTTTCTGTAAGAAACCACGTTAAATAATGATAATATTATAGCAATGTCATATCTTTTTTAACATTATCTCTTTCAGGTGACAGATAATCTTATATGTATATGACTATATATATATATATATATATATACAGAGCTCCAGATAATTTTTTTGGCCAAGGGGTTTTTACCCCTCAAAATTTAGAGTGAGGGGTAAAATGCAAATTCTGAAAAACTTAAGGGGTAAAATCTGTCAAAAAAGCATTTTGCATTTTTTATAAACAAATTAAACTTATTGTTTTTTTTCTTTTTTTTTTTTTTTTTTGCTTATTTTCTTTTTTTAGAAAAACCTTTACAAATTAAATACTGATTTAATGTGAAACAATACAAAACATGCCATGTAAAGTCAGACTGCCCAGAGTATACTGGAACTCAAGTTTAGGATACACAGCAAAATTATCAGGGCTTCCATTTTCAAAATTTGGAAGTCAAAGACTTCAAAATCTCTGATATTGGAAGTCACATTATAATAAAATTATATAGGTAAAGAAGGAAAAGTATTGATTTTGGGAAGTCACAGGCCAAAATGAAGGAGAAAATGACTCCCAAACTTTCACAAGTGGAAGCCCTGAAATTATTTTATTTTCTAGGAGTCAATATTTTTCTTTCTTTATTTCTGTTGGCATGTACCTTTCATAATATCATGTACTCCAGTTTGAACAATTATAGTTGAAATTAGAATTAAAGAATAATAAACAAATTTTTTTTATCTTTCCTTAAAATAAGTATTGGTCTGAGAGAAAATTATCCGTAACTGTAGACTGGGTACGAAAATATTGAGTACAAAACTGCAGGGGAAAAACATGTTATTTTGTTCCAACAACATTAGTTAAAAAGAAATTAATATATATTTTTGTTTATATTGAGGCATAAGCATGTCAATAGATGCCTAAACAAACGTAATACTGTGTTTACTCCTACGATGATTATCTGGCACAAATTTCATCAATAATTTCACAGGTTGATCTACGGGAGTTACCTCCCTAACATGCGTTGCTGACAACAGAATTTTTAGTTTTCAATGCAATAAAATGGAAATATATTGTATTTTCATGCTCAAAACATTTTCTTTATACATATCAAATGTTTACACTTCTATTCTTTCACGCATAAATTTTGACATACGAGCGTATTTTCATTTTGTTGTGCGTAACTGTGACGCACGAATTTTGAAAGTGATGCGTATTTTAGATTTTCTATGCGTATTTTACGCTTATACGCACGCTATCTGGAGCTCTGTATATATATATATATATACATGTATATTCATTGTTTATATTGTATGTAAATTATTAAGTGTTTTTTTCTCACTTAATTGGGACGATGCCTTAGCCTCGTGATTTTGGGAAAAATTATCACTAAAATTGCTAATTTGGGCAGTAAAAAAGCAGGTTTAAGTTTTTATTTTTGGGAAAACTGCATGATTTTAAAGAAATTTTCAATTGGGAATTCTGTTATAAAAGCTGGAAAATCACTGTTATGCTCCAGTCTCCAGATAAGCTTTCACAGGGTGAGGTAAATGGGGAATAGACTTATAGCCATCCATATTAAAATTGATTTGGAATTTAGAATTTTAAATTGACTTTAAATGCATTTTTATCTTGATGTTTCAAACTTTAAAGCCCGACGCATTTGAAGATGAGAACCAGTTGGTTATAGTCGGAGCTATTCGGTAATATGTTGGTTCCCATATTCAAAGTGTGGCGCATTTGAATAAGGCAAAGCTAGGTAGCCAATTGTGTATTTGTCGAAAGATTTTGTGAATGGAGTGAAACGGCGATAATCTTGATGTTTATTTCACCTGTCTTTACATTTGATTTGGATTTTAAATGCGTTTTGAGATCCACACCCAAAATGTCTGTCACGTGGGAGACGTTGAAATATTATTTTTTTTGTCAAAAAGACTTCTATTAAGTTCTTTTGTTATATCTGATAAGAATGTGTATGGGTTTAAAAATATACATTCTGTTTGGAATTAAAACGTTTTAAACTCCACACCCCAATGTTGAAGTCAGAGATCGTCCCTGTTGAAAATATTCATCAGTTTATAATTCAACAATTTCCATGTCCGATTCCAGTGATTTTTTTTTCAATTTTAAAAACAACCTGTGGCTTTCTGAAGGGGAAAATATAGCGCAGTAAATCAGAAAAGAGGGAAATCTGAAGTCAAATTTCAATAACTAAGAATGAAATTTAAGCACACATTTTATAAACTTTTCAATTTCAGTTCAATTTAGCATGCATGGTACAAAGCAGAGTCTATTTATAGGGACTTTGAGCTGCTCTCAAGTCATCATGGTTCTGGTGAAGAACTGCACAGGGCATTTCAGGGGGAAATATAAGCATTTTTAGGGGAAAATATATCTATTTTGGACTAGAAGCAGCCTTTATTCAGCTGTAAAATACAGGGAAAAAAATCACTGGATTCATTAACCAGAAAATAATACTCGAACTGTTTATATGAAACTGTATAAAAAATTATCAAACCTCTCTTTGATAAACTGATCTGATACACAAACTCAGAAAGTGAAAATATAAACACGCTGAGACGGCTGAGATTGATTGTTTACATTATTTCCCGCCATAAATTCAACACCGGTGTAATCGTTTTATTTTTAAAATGTCAAGTAATGCGATAAATGTCTAACGCCGCTAAATAATTTTTTCGGCAAAGCAATACAAAAAAAGTAAAATAAATAGATCTAAATGAATGAATGAATGAATGAATGAATGAATGAATGAGTGAATAAATAAATAAATAAATAAATAAATAAATAAATAAATAAATAAATAAATAAATAAATAAATAAATAAATAAATAAACTAAAACTGTGTCCAAAGGACACGGGTGCCCCCACTGACAACATATATATGGTATATAGTGAAAACATCAACAAAGGGCAATAATTCTCTTAAATTTGGTCGCAGCAAAAATTCCTTCCTTTACTTGCATCTACACATTAAGGTTGTTCATCCCTGGAAGTTTAAGCTAAATCTGCCATCCGGTTTAAGAGGAGTTGCGTTCACAAAATTTCTATATGGTATATAGTGAAAAAATCAACAAAGGGCCATAATTCTGTTTAATTTGGTCGCAGCGAAAATTCCCTCCTGTACTACCATCTACACATTAAGGTTGTTCATCCCTGGAAGTTTAAGCAAAATCTGCCACCAGGATTAAGAGGAGTTGCGTTCACAAGATTTCGGGTCGTACGGACAGACGTACGGACTGACGGACGGACAGTGCAACGCTATATGCTCCCCATTTTGTGGGGGCATAATAAATAAATACTATTACTACTGTTGCCCTGTTGGAATTTAAAGTAAAGAGGAATTATAACCACTTACGTTTCTTTGAACACTTTTTGTAACATTAATCCTTGATATATACCCAGATGTTTCTTCCGAAAGAAAGAAAGAAAGTAAGAAAGAAAGAAAAGGAAATACCACAAAAAATAAAAAAGTTTTCTTAACCTTTGCTTGTATTTGAATAAAATAAAACATACGTGGCATACTATATGGGGATACATATAGAACTGTTTCGCAATAACACTTTCAAATAAATATGAAATAGGACGTTAAGTTGAATGTTTTGAAAAAGGTTGCTGGTGTTCCACTGGGTAGCTCTTAGTCTTATATGCAAGAGTTTCTTGAGGTACATTTTGCAAAGAAATTTTTTTTTTAGAATGATGACTGCCACTTGTCTAATAGGGACACTCCTGGTTTTTCATTTTTATCTTGCATCTTTCTTTTACAAGTACCATTTAATATCTTAAAATGTAACATACGTTACTGCCGCCACCTAGAATATTCATTTTTGAGGATGTGTTGTAGAAATGTATGTTCCAGAATAAACGAAACATATGCAGTTAGTCATTACTGCATGCATATACTTTGATTATTTAGTGTAAATTATATTTGGCTGTTACCTCACTCATATCATGGATGATCAAATGTCGCCAAATACATATAAATAAACAGTAACAAACTTAAAGAATTTGAGAGCGAAACAAAAATTATTTAATTGAAAACAATGCATGCTTAATAATACAGCGTATGTATAATAATAAATAAAAATACATGTAAGTTGCAAGCCTCTCAAATATCATTCTGTCTTTTGAAAATTTGTCTTTAAATCATATCTTTTTCCACGACATTTTAGATAGAAACATACGTCACCATTGTTTTAACGCTAATCCATTCAAGAAAACCCCGTTAATCTATGTGTAATTTTAATATATTAACCACGAATAATGGTGCGTTACACGCTCTTGCTTTATTTTTCAACGTTCGTAAAGTTGGCAGCCTAGTAGCCTTACAACCTGAAGTTGGCAGCCTAACAGCCTGAAGTTGACAGCCTAGCAGCCTGGCGGCCTAACAGCCTAAAGAAAACTAAGAATAGTACAAACATGAAAATGGTCGGAAATACACCAGTTGCACCTCCTTAGATCATTCCACGCCTTTCAATATCGTGATCTTTATTTTTTCAAGATGTTGAACTTTATCTTAACATATTTTTTTGAAGCGTCAGAATGGAAAAATGGCAAATTGAATCATATGTTACAGACACCTATGATGCCAACTTTTTAAGAAATGAATACAAAGGGAAATTCAGGTCAGAAACATGCATAACATCAAAAATATGCTTCAATTTTACATTAGTCCATGAATTTGTTAACTTTGGTCGAATTTAAACTTGTTAGTAACAAAAGTGAAACAAACGATAATATTCAACAGAAATGGTATTGTCTACACATGTAAATGAAAAACATAAAATTGAATTTTTATAACATTAGACTGATGTACATTTGAATCCTGAATAAAAGAGCCAAAAACTTTGATGTACTAGTAATTACCTGGACATTAGTGGGGCACCCATCTTGTTTGTATTTTCCTGGGTTGAAAAGTCCCTCTAGATAGAGAGATTACAGATTTTAATATTTTTACAGATAGTTCTTTTTTATATGCAACCAATATGTTACATTATGAGACCTGAAATCTACGCTACTGAAGAAAAACATTGTTACATTACAGAAATAGAATGATGTAGAACAGATACATTATTGTGTCAATAACCATCCGTCATCATTTTTATAAGTACTTTTTTCCTATTACAGAATTGCGATGTGAGTGATTCTTAATTGATCTAGGTCAATAACACAAGGCGTCTTCTGTATGAAAAACATATTAGTGACTAATGTGGCCTACTTGTTTATGATACAATTTTTAACAGAAAATAGACCAATAAAATAGACGTGCACACGTTTTCACAACATTCAAAGAACCTCTGAAAAATTTCCGAATACTCATAAGGCGGAAAGTGTCGGACAGTTGCAATTCATGTGACGGAAAGTGCCGGAAAGTTGAGATAGGTTATGTTTAGCGTAATAATTTGAAGATAAACGCTAATGCGAGCAGATTTCAGGTTCGAATCCTAATGGAGGCACAAGCTCTACATGATTATTATGATGGTCAATATTCAAAAATATCATGGTCATTTTCTTTTTTATTCAATTAGATACGTGTACATTATGTAAGCGGTGTCTGACAGGGACATACTACCATATAGTAATAAATGAGTAGCAATTTATTTTTTTTCACTGTTAAAGGAACTTCACTGAGGTCCAAAGGCCTAGAAATATATAATTTGAAAATTTTACAAATATCACATGAAGCACATTAATTTGAAAAATATGCAAAAGATATCAAAGAAATATACTCATAATGAAATTCAGAACAGGATTCGAGTGCAATCATTTTTTTTTTGCAAAAAAACCCTGATTATTTTAGAATAACCGAATGAGGGAATGAGCTGAAAATTTGCACACAAGTTATTGGTCTATACCTATATCAATTTGGTACATAAATCTCGGGAAAATATAATCAGTCCCTAAAACCTCAATGGAATCGCTTTAACAATTCTTCATCTTGTACATAAATTTTGTACATTTGTTGTAATATATATAAATTATGAGTGTTTAGTAACAAATAAGTAAACCTCAGTTCAATCATAACATACATTCTTATTTTCACTGTTATCAACTGTAACTCTTGATGATAAATTTTGTTGATTATACCCTATTCTTTGTATCACCAAAAAGAAAAAAACGAAGTATTTTAAAAGATAACCATTAATTCATAATTCAGATTTAAGATAAGGATAAAATAAATCTGCGTTACGCGGCATATAGATAGCGCAAATCTTAATCTTTCAATAAGGTCAAATCAGTTACAAATGCATCAATATATGCTAATAAATCCATTTCATAAGGTTAAAATTATCTAACTGAAAACCTGAGATTTTAACTTTAATAAAAGTGCATTTTGTTTACAGCAAATCGAGTATATTTGTTACAGAAGGATACGGTTTCACCCCACTTTGTTTGTAACAATAAACAAACTTATATCAAAAGTGCATTTTGTTTACGAAATCAAGTATTTTCATCATTTCCTCTCTTTAAGTAGCCCGCCCATAAATTTTATAATTTTCACATCCCCTGTAAAGGTATGACGAAAACATTCCATTGAGTGGATGACGTCGTTAAGTATATAAAAACAATCGTCAACAACTTTGAACCTACTGGTATCAGTATAGCTGATTATCTGTTGGCTTAAAATGCCGAATGTGCCCTGGACTTAAGTGTAACCCACTTGATCATCTCAGCTCTTGACCCGGATAAAATGACTGATAGAACGTTTGTACGGATACATGACACTTAATATCTTACTTTTTCTACCAATAAAAAGGGCATTGTTTTATATCGAGTGTCATTTTTTTCTTGAAGAAAATAAGAAAAAAGAAATTCAGCAAGAATAACAAACTGCATTAGAAATGAAGCAGTTTGGAAAATATCTATTTATTCTGATATTTTACTATTTTGGAGATTTGAGTTATGGAAAGCCATTTGATACTGACGTAAGTTTTGTTTGTTTGTTTCGTTGTTGTTGTTTTAAAACTTTTTACCAGTATCGATGGTACATAATAATATCTTTACAACAGCACACCTACATTTCATAATAAATGTACCTAAACCACATCGTTTCTCAAATGAAACCGGACTGGTATACAGGTATACAATAATAATGTTGTTTTCTCTATGCTATATGATGTTATAGCTATATCTTTCGTCTAAGAATCTATTAAATAACAATTTAATTGTTGGAAATGACAAACAGACTTATGTTAATTTGAAGGAAAATAATAAAAAAAGCATGCAACAATATTAATGTTCAAGAAATAGAGCAAGTCGGTAAATTTCCTACTCCATGTCTTACTGCATAACTAGTGCGTGTTTGTAGAACATTGTGTTTAACTCTTAACTTTCTTACAGCAAGAATGACTCGCATTTTTCAGACCAGTTAGTCCAGTAGGCTTGACGAAAAACTATTGTGTTGGCTTTTTAATTTCATTAGTATGTAGATCAAACTTACATTGACCAGTTTAGAAATAAATCATATAAGCTTTAATCTTTTCAGCAAAACAACCATAACTATGATATGTTTTATAAGTTTGTGAAAGGTATATGTCCGGTTTAAACAACAAAATGTAGCATAATTTAGGCAAATTGTGTCAATTTCTGTTTCTTGTTATTATTTAAAAGGAGCGAGTTGATATTTTCTTTTATTTCTCTTGGTTAAACCGACGCTTACTTACACTGAAGAAGACACAAAGAATTGCGAAATTTACCGATTAAAAAAAAATAATAGTCTTCTAAAGTTCAAGTTTGTTTTATAACGTTTGCACACTTCACTTTTTATCTATATATTTGACGTAAAATTGAAAATTGTGTTAATATGTCAATAGCATTGCCTGTTATCTCTCATCCGATTTTGATAGCATGCTTTCTTCCTTCACCCAATTATGTCTTACAAAATTATATTACGATTGCCTCTATTAAAGGTAGATAACATATTTTAATAGTTCTTGTACAAAAAGGCCGATACATTAAAGAAATCAAAGTAAGCAACAAAAAATAATACAATGACTCATTTCCTCGTAAGAATCTCCACTAATTCTTATAAATAGATAATTCATGCATTATATCCCGACATTCTGTTATATTATTGTAACGTGCTTTATCTCAAGTGTAACACATTTTTATTCTACATGTTTAAAAGTCTATAAAAAGAGATTTAAGATGACATGAAATTATCGATTTGTGAAATCATATTCAACACCAAGTGGAGACTACCATGCATGTATTATTCGCATGAAGCGATTTTGATTAATTTGTATTTTGTGAGAGAATGTTGATGGAAAATGTGTACATAAGAAATTTTTAAGACTTGTAAAAAACAGGTTTTAAATAATTAATTGTCAACATCTACATCGCTATAACATACCCCTCAACGTTGGGTTTCACAATATGCGTTTCCAGTCCGAATTATCATATATTTATCATTTAATTTAATTATCGTCAACATTTATCGTCGAATTTGAAAAACAAATATTAAAAATAAAAAATATCCCTTGAAAATAATAATTTACTTGAATTTAAAGATAACATTTAAGTAAGCAATGTCCTGTTAAAAGTTAGTAACATGCCCGATAAATATTACATACAATATGTTTAATTACCGGCGTCTATGTTTCAGCTTTACCTAGAAAAGTTTGGATACCTGGACGAGAAACAACCCGGTAAACAGCATGATGAACAGTCTAGGAAAAACGCAATAGAGTAAGATATTTGACCCATTGTGTGTTCGTGGAAATATCAACTTTTATAATCCTACAACCAAAAGTGATAAACCTTTGCAGGCAGCATAGAGCAAGGCCAGTCTGCATATTTTTGCAACTTGATCAGACTCTACTTCAGTGTTGTTATATTTTTCTTGTCCTTCAGGTTCATTGATTCCAGCACAAACGCGTTGAAAATTGCGTACCGCTCTAGCCGGTGCTAGGGGCTTGAGGGATGTTCCACTTTTTCATTATCCCTCAAAGACAGACTCAATCAAACCGAGTCTGTAATTTCATGTTATATTGTTGTGATTAATCCTCTTAATTTTCATTTTTATATCCCTAACATTGACAATGGACAGCCCAAGAATAAAAATGGAAGCTGGACAAGTCCATTTTAGGAATTCAGCATGTTAATGTTGGCTAACCTATCCTTCCGAAATAAAGCCCAAAATCTCTCATTTCAAATAGATTGTTCTTCATTCAAAGTAGATCAAGTTAGTTTTATACAGCTTAAGTTGAGTACGATCTTATTGAAAGATTCATAAAGAAAAACATATCTTATTAAAACAACGAAATATGTTTTAAATTTATTCCTTATATAATATCAGATTCATAATATTCAATCTTACCATTCATTCATTTTGCTTATTACAATTTTGCAGGACGTTTCAAGAGTTTGCAGGACTCCCGGTGACAGGTCAGCTTAATGAGGCAACTCTAAAAAAGATGTTGGCGCCAAGATGCGGCCTACCTGACGTCATCAAACCGTCTGACCGGATACCCCCCACAGGGAACAAGAAGCATGACCTTAGACAACCATTACAGTTTAATGCTCCCGGTACAGCCTCTCTATATGTATAAAGTAGTTGACTCATTTTTTAAATCCATCTTAAGCGCCAATTATGGTTCATCACTTACTCGGTCTTGGACATGTTTAGATTGTTTGACAGCTATGCGTAACGATACGTATAAAAAGTGAAACGTTGGCTCCATGTCCGGGGTCAGTACTCGACAGCGAAAGCTGCATTTTGTGCCCGAAAGGGCGGATGGACCCTCATTAAGCATTAACTACAACAAGAACAACAAACTTGATATTCTTGTCAAGATTATTGAATGCAATACATTAACTGGTTTAAGATTAAATACTGTTACAGGCAGTGCTAGGTGGCATGAAATGGATGTATCACTACTTTTATTATCTCTCTTAAACAGAGTCAATCAAAATGAATGTACTTTTCTGAAAAATAACATGTGACAATATTTCTATTCAAAGGATCAAGACTTACTAGTATAACCATATACATGTACATATCAATTCTTTTTTTATCAAGACAAAATAATCATCATTTCCAAGAAAATACATCGAATGATAATTCCTATTTGTAGAATATAGTACAAAAAGTCTAGAAAAAGTGAAACATGTTATAATTTTATGAAGTTTAATTGTATTGGTAAAACATAAATTCGGTTAAAATACTTATTTTGTGCAACATCTTTTTCCAGGATACAAATGGGATAAGAAACAAGTCACGTACAAATTTGCTGGTTTCACTCGACAGCTTCCGGCATCAAGTCAGAGGTGAGATTTGAGTTTAATATTTGTCATAAACACAAGATTTGGTAAATGTACATTTGTTTCTTTATTTATAACATGAATTATGCTGTAATTTCTATGATAATTGTGGAGTTGTATAATCCAAAAATATTCTTATCCAAAAAACAAAGAAAAAGATATTTGGTTGATTTGCACAATGTTCAAATCTATGTCGAGTCTGCTGTACCAAAATTATCTACATATGTATTGCTATCTCGTACATCGGAGTATTTCATCTTCTAAAACATTTTAATTTTTAAACACATGCAAATCTGATTCACGAAACACTTCTGTGCAAGTGTACACTCAATGTGAAAAAACAACCCTACCCTCAACCCCCAGAAAAAAAAACAAGAAAAAAAAACCCCACAAAACAACAACAACAACAACAACAAAAAGAAACTCCACAAAAAAAAGACAAAAAATAACAACAACAACGAAACAAAATAAGAAAACAAAATAAAGCAAAAAAACAACAACAAACAAACAAATGAAACAAAAACAAAGCAAACAATAACAATAGAAAACCCTAGAATCAATGTATGTACATCTATAGAAAGTTACTTAATCAGTTTAACCTTTCATTTCAAATGTGCAATCTCTCTTTCAGACGTGCAATAAGGAATGCTTTTAGCAAATGGGAAGCTGTTATTCCTCTTACATTTCGGGAAGTAAGTTCCGGCAACGCTGACATTCTTATAAACTGGGTTTACCGTTCGCATGGAGACGGAAGTCCTTTCGATGGTCTTGGTAAATTATTTTGTTTATGTATTAAGTAGGGAATACATTTTATGTGAATCAATCCTCGCAAACTCCACGTTTCAAAAAAATATCAATATGGGCTGTATCCTTCATATTATTCAGGAAAGTATTGTTTGTGTAATAATTAGTTTGATAAAATATGTGCTTCTGCTCGTAAATAACTTTATGGTAGAGTAGTCGGATCAAGTTTTAAAACGGAAAAATCGCTAAATAAAACCGCTTTTATCTTTCTAATGGCAAACGCAAAATGTGGTAAGCGCTTAAGAAAAAGTTCTTTTGTGAGGCATTGATACAATTCTTTTGCAATTAGTTCTAGGTTAATCTTTACATTTACTGGTCTATTGTACGATGAAAAGGTTTACAATACTACATATTAACATATCTCTTAGTACACAATTTGTATTAATTTATTAACTTATATCTTATTTACTGCAGGTGGGACATTAGCACATGCGTTTTTCCCTGGAGAGTCAGATATCAGCGGTGACACACATTTTGACGATCAGGAAGTTTGGACGGAGAGAAGTAAAGAGGGAACTAATTTAGAAATTGTGGCCGCGCATGAACTTGGACATGCTATTGGTTTAGGACACAGTAATGTTGATGGGGCACTTATGTTACCTTTCTACGGTGGATATGACCCGAACTATAAACTGAATTATGATGACATACGTGGTGCTCAGTCGTTATATGGTAAACTATTTAGAGCTTACACTGATAACATACGCTTGTTTATGTTAAATACTATAGGACGCAGCTGTAGGATTAGCCTTTCTCAGTTGCAATGAAGTAAAAATGAAGGTTAAATGCTTTTTAACCATTGCATAAAAAGACATTGCAATCTTATTATAGGTTATAAGCATTACATTGGATATATTCAAAAGCAATGTATTTTTACCGTCCTTTAGAAAATTTCATTGTTTGCAAACACGTTTTTGCGAAGTTTAAAATCAAATGATATTACTACTAATTATATCTTTTAGATTACATATATTTTCTAAAAAACACTGAATGCCTCTAATTTCAAGGTGGAAAACAAGCCCCAAGACCAACACCAAGACCACGCCCTCCTCCAAGGCCAACATTAAGGCCACGCCCAACATCAAGGCCACGCCCTCCTACAAGACGCCCTGCACCGACTCAAAAACCGGACGATGAAGATAAATGTAGTATAAAATTTGACGATATTGCCAATGGTTAGTAAATTTGTTTGATATTGTATTAAAGTGTAATGATGTTTTGTGTTATGAGATGATACGTTCAACAACGTTGGATGAGATTTTGCTGCAGTAATTTGCTTCTGTTGCACGAAGGGACAAACCTTTAAACTTAATATAGTAATAAGAAGTTCTGTTCAGATAAATAATTTCATTTTTGACTTTAAGATTTTCATATGTAGTCAGTAGAATCCAAGCCGCGTGTGTCTGACAGGACCGGTACTGTCTGACAGGACCGTGCTGAAACTGCCCAGTCTTGAAATCTTCCCGATATTGATACACCTAGTATGGAAATCATGGAAGTTCATTACTATGCTGTAAATAATTAAGTGTTTTCATAATGACATTGTTTGGGCTGAAGACTGTCATATTAGCCTGAGGCCAATGGCCGAAGGCTATTACCAATGACAGCCTAAACCCCAATTACAAGGCCATTATGAAAACACTTAATTAATTGACAATTTAATTAATTAACTACACATAATCTAAAAATGTTAAATAGCATATCCATGATGGGTATAAGCACTTTGTGAGGTTATATACAGCGTAAGTCATTTTTATGATAACTGCAAAGTATTTCATAAAATGAATTGTTTTATTTTCAGGACCCGATGGTCGATTGTATGCGTTTAGATATAGAAAGGTATATAAATTCAACAGTAATGATGTGGGTATAGAACGAAAGTTTCCCAGAAATGTCCGTAAAGTTTTTCCAAAGGCTCCAAACAATATCGGTGCTGCTGTGTACGATAGATTCAACAGAAAGTTCTATATCTTCAAAGGTAAATTCTACTAAATTTCTCTTTAGAAGTATTTAGGTACACGATGTCCAAAAGCTTAGATACCTAAAGGTTGATATACTGTTCCATTTAAAACGGACACCATACAACAGATGATACAGAATAAAGAGATGTTTCAAAAATAAATGAATCGAAAATCGATACCCGGTGCATCTCTTAACTAGATTTGTGCCAAAAGCAATTAAAAGCGTTCCTTTTAAGTATATTTGTCACATGGAATATGATTAACCTAGAATAACTAAGTGAGCGAAATGCCTATGTGCTATCTCATCAGTATTGAAAATTTTCAACACGAAAACGTTCTAATAAATGTGTTAGTTTGCTTTTTATTTTAGTACGTACAACTTACACGAACGAGAACGTTACATTTTGTTACATTTTGTTTCACTGATAAGCCATATGGAACAAGAGCTGTCACGCAAGTGACAAATGCCCCCCCCCCAAGTTTCTTAAAGAAAAGAGAATGAAAATAACAAATTGCTTAATATTGTTATTATGAGATGAAGTGCTATTTATAGCAAACTTAAAACATTGGGACAAGGGTCTTAGATGTGAATCAACATCTTGATGTGGTAGACAGTTAGGCCAAGTTATTTTAAAATCTTTGGCTTCAATGCATGATAATGTTACAGTTTGGAAACTAATGCGTACCTTCAAACTCTCTTATGACCATAAGTACCTTTAAACTATAAAAGTGACCTTGACCTTGGAGGTAGGAACATGGGTCTTACACACAACACATCATCTTGATGTGGTAGACATTTGTGCAAAGTTATTAAAAAATCATTTGATGCATGACAAATGTACAGTCTGGACACAAACGTGTGTACCTATAATCTCTAATTGTGATAGTGTGAACCTTCAAAATATAAGTGTGACCTTGACCTTTGAAGAAGTGGCGTGGTTCTTGGACGCGACACAACATTGTCATATGATAGATATTTGTGCCAAGTTATTCCAAAATCCCATGTGCATGACAAAGTTACAGTCTGGACATGATTGTTGTGTAAGAGGGGACGCGCGGCCGGACAGACGGGCATGAGCCGTAGCCGCCTCACATCATATCGATGTGGTAGACATTTGTGTCAAGTTACTTCGAAATCCTTCTATGTATGACAAAGTTACAGTCCGGACACGAATTAAATGGGGATGCACAGACGAACGGACATACAGACGGACATACAGACGGCGATTTTAATATGCTGTCCTTCGGGGGCATAAAAACTTAGTGTTAAACACAGCTGAAGGGGAATCATCTGGACGATACGTTGGAAAGTGATGAACCTGACCAACATATATAATATCAACATGCTAAGCACCGCCCGTTATTTGTCATAGCCCTCAGCATTTTGTAACGATACGGTCAATATCATGATTAAACAGCTACATTCGATAGATAATTAGCATAAATTTCTTCTGATTTTACAGGAAGTCGGTACTGGAGGTACAGTTATAATTTTCAGCTGGATCCCGGCTATCCTAAACGTTTACGTGGCTGGTACCGAAGTATTCAGGCTGCACTCCAAGAGGACAACGGTGAAATCAGAGTTCTCAAAGTAATGATTCAAACCTATTAAGTAGTTTATACTCGTAACTGTTACAACGTAAACAATATGCATGTATTATGTTATACAGTGAAAGTTAATTGAGGATTTATAACGTTTTGCTTAAGTAATACTTGATATAACACACACCATTTGCACATGAACCATTTCAACGAAATTCAGAAATTACCATTGCAGCAACGACCTCCTTATATATGACTTTAATTTTATTTTTTCACTTTGTTTCCAGAATTTTATCTTTTGTAACATTTACCAAGAAAAAACGGTATTTTCCTGTCATTATGTACATGTTTTTTAAGAGTGACAAACTATAAAGAATCTAAATGTTTTTAAAAAAGAAAATTATTTCCGAACGTAATACAATGTATATAAATTTACCAGGGCAGTGAAATGAGTGTATGGAGAGAGGATTTCACAAACCCTCCACGAGGATACCCAGTTAATATCAATCGAGGCTGGCCAGGTTTAAGGTCCGATCTGGAGGCTGCTATACGTTATAGAAGACAATCATATTTCTTTAAGGGAGGAAAGTAAGCTAATTAATAAACTAATTCTTAAAAATGGTAAACTATGTACTATTAATATCTTGACAGTCATAAGTGATGTTTTTTAATTTGTAATTATAAGTCTTTTAAGCGTGATTAAATTAAAATTTTGATATATGTTATTAAATTTTTTTTTCCATTTTTGAATAACCAATCATTTCCAAGTTTTTAAATCTTTAACGATTAATTGCTGTTTGATTTGACTAGACTAAGGTTAAACCAAGCAGTTGAAAAAGCCATGCTTAAAGTTATCCAGGAAATCGCGAATATAAAAAAATGATACAAAGTACAGGTACTTTTCATGTAGTTTTGCTATAAAGTTTCAAACAGTTGATATCATTCAACAATTGTATGAAAAATGATCTACTTTATATTTTCAGTTATTTTAGATACAATGACCGGTATAAAAAGGTCGATTACAGAAAAGCTAAAGCGGGACCCTGGCTTGGTTGTGGACGTGTGGAGCCGAAATGAAGAGGCTATAAAACATAAAAGACATGATGGTCCATATTGCATTTATTAATTATTTTAATGTGCTTCAGTTTCATGATTTGCACGTTACTTAGTCATTCTCAGAAAATTGTGCCAGTTCATTTTCTTTTGGAATGAATCGGAACTCGTTTTAGACACTCAGCGAATGTTAGATGATAAATCATATATATGTATAAATTTGTATTTTCAAAGACTGTACAACATAAATGTTTCATTAAAAGCAAGTGTAAATTGTGTAATAAACATTTACAAGAAATTACTTTTAAAACTTTTGTTTACCTTTGTAAAGAAAAGGATTTCAAAAATGCCACATTTTAATCTCAACAAAATCGAAGGTTCAGAATGAGTTACAAATAAGTATGGTAGTTCTGATTCAATACTCGTCTTCGGAATGGCAAAAATGTGCCACATTAAAGGATCCATGATACGAACAAATCAGCAGATGTTTCGTAATTCCAAATTAGGTTAATTCGATTAAGTGTATTCGTTGAAATACTATGATACTTGATCTCAAAGTAAATACTGTTTCGGTTTTCGGTATGTTAGAATAAAAAGATATAAGAACCAATGTTAAGATTAAAACTTTTTTATTAAGACAAGGAGTGTCTTTGTCATCAACGGCACATCCTAACGGAACATGCTAGATTAAAGCTTTAAGATTCCGAAAGTCATTAACTGGTTGATGGCAAAAACACTTATACAATGAATATGATTATGATATTAATGTAAAAATGAAAATAATTATTTTACACATGTAATACATGTTATAAAAAAAGTAAAAAAGATTGTTAGCAAATATCATTTAGCAAACTAATTGACAAATTTCGCTATTAATTACATAATCAGCATGACTTTTTGGAAATTAAAAAAATCTATGAATTCTTCCCTGATAGCAGAAATGTATATACAAAGGTTACAATGATTTTACTGATTTATGAATATGATGTTTGTGATGATCTGGACATAGAGCCTGCACATTCAATTGAATGAGTATTTCTTCAACAACCTGCAAAATAACAGTAAATTATGCTTAGTATATTAAAATTAATATCAATGTCAATGAATAAAACTGCATAATCTATGTAAACACGACAGATCACTCCTTTTCGAGACTTTCGTACGTGTAAACTTCAGTGTGGCAACTATTAAAAGCTGCTTCGTACTGTTATATTTTATTTTTCTAGTCCTGAGGAATCATTGATCAATTTCAGCACGTCAGCGTTGAAGATTGAATACCACTTAAGTCAGTACAAGAGGTCGTGAAGGATGTTGTACTTTTATATTATTTAAAATTAAACCGAGTCTGTAAATTCTGTTGTTTCATTGCATCCGAGACATAACCAATTTTAGAGATTGTTAGTTTAAGTGTTTTGGTAAAGACGTTCTTGTACTCCGTACTATTCGTAATCGAATTATAGCATATTTGGCTACAAAGCTCACGTAAATACACATGTATCTTATTTCTATATCATAGTTTGTAGTCACGTATCAGAGTTAAATCACAGTGCGTTAACTGGAGTGCTATTAGTTACCCGCACTCAGTGTCTCTGTCTAGAGCATGCTCATTGATCGGTTCATTTTTTCTAGGGTTTGCTTATTGCGACGGCATGGAAAAAGATAACAATAGAATGCTCGTATATTGGTTTCAGTCTTCTGGGCATTAATAAAGTGACAAAAGGGAAGGTGTTTTCATTTTTGCCTATGATTATGATACAAAAGTGATAACAGGGCAGGTATTTTCATTTTGCCTATGGTACAAAAGAGAAAGAACATCAAAACACTCGGCAGTCTGATTCATATACCTGGCCCCATCGTACAAATCAGATAGCCCGTGTTTCAATGCTCTTTCTTTTACATAAACGCTCAATGAATTGGTTATTGAAATAGATTTAGTTTGTTATCAACAAATCTAAAAGAAAATGACAATTGATTTACTATTTATTTGTGTCAGACCATTTTATTTGTGTTTTCTTACAAAAAATAACTATGATTAGGTGAACTACACTACAACAGAAAACTTACATGAGTTTGAGAAATAAACAACAATGTTGCAAGTGCTCTAACGTCATCTTGGTCATCTTACATGTAGATCTACCCCTATTGCTTCCAGTTCTTTATGTGCTTTCTGTAGAGTCTACAAAATGTATAAACAAGTATGATGTTTATTATGTTTTTTTTTCAATTAGATCTATTTCTTTTCCGCTACCATGTACTTTGTGATCGAAATCCTGTGCAATACACCAGTGCAGTAACGGCGTGATGCAATTTTCCTTATAGCTGAATCAACCTAAATGCTTACAACGCGGATTAAAAGTTTATGAACATTAATCGGTTGTGACGTCATATTATTATCTCAATTTGACGTCACAAGTGCTTGTACATGTATTTACACAAGGTCGAGGAATCACAAAGGACAACTTTGCTTATGTCAAAACCCGCCACGGCACAAATGAATGCTGCTAAGTAAGAATTTACAAAAACAGCATATAAAAGCAGTGAACAACACAGGGAAGAAGGCAACGCCCGTTCACAAAGAGATTAAACGGACATCACTGAATTCATGAATTTTCTTTTAAATCACAATCCATTTAATGAAACATCTAGTTCATTGAGGCACATAGAAACAGGTGTGACTGTCGATGAAAGGGTGAATTGAGATAATACAAAACAAATAATATTCCGAAAGACATGTTGAAGGTTATTAATTCAAAAAGTTAAAACAAGCTGTCACTATGAATGAAAAGTCTTCAGCGAGCCAACTTTGTAGTATTCTATCTGCTTTGTTTAACAACACAGGTTTTCCTAGAGAGGCTAACAAAGCTGCACTTACTAACGCATTGTGGAATTTTGAAAATTTTACAAATCTGGTACGATTCGATGACATTGCCTCCGAAATTGTACATGTACTTGACGGCGACTCACTTCTTCAGAAGATTTCTTGGGTAAAATGTTCAAGAATTGAAAATGTCTCGAGCAATATTATTCCTATATCTCTAAAGGGCATGTCAATCCTACAGTCGTTTTTGACCGTTACATGAACCATTCTATAAAAGATGTTGCTCATATTAGGCTTATGAAAGACGAAGTCTGTACAAAGGATATTACTCATGTTAGGCGTATGAAAGACGAAGCCGGTACAAATGTTGTGTTCGGTTATAACACACCACTGAAAATGATTTTGTTTGTTTCTTTGTTTCATTTTACGCCTTTCTCCAACAGTATTTCAGTCATATAGGCGGATAGTTTCCTAACCATCGTTCCTGAAGAGTTACACTAGTACTTGACTACTTTCCTCCGCGCTAAACTACCAAAGCATCTTCCGGGGATCGAACCCACGCCGGAGAGGTACCTGGATTAGAAGTCATTGACTCTAACCCCTTGGCCACGGAGGCGGTCTATGAAAAAGATGTGTTTCTGAGAAATGAGGAGACAAACACAACTTCATTTTTTTTATCTTGGTAATTATTTGGAACAAAAAGGCATTATTATACGCAATTCACCTTCTGATGCAGACTTTCTGATTATTCAAACAGCTGTTGAATATTCTAAAACGAAAACAACGTATGTTATTGGTGAAGACACAGATTTGCTTGTCCTGGTATTGTTTCATGTCTCGTCAGATTCGAAGAATGTTTATTTCAGATCAGGCAACAATTCGATTCGTCTGAAAACCCAAAAGGTTTGGCATATACAAAACAAACAAAATGTGATTGGAATATAAATTTGTAATCTCCTACCATTACTGCATGCTTTCTCTGGTTGCGACAGTACTTCACGAATACACAACATCAGCAAACCGGCATGTCTTATTATAATGTGTAAAAATGAAGTGTTGCTGTAAAATGCTGCAATATTTCATTCTTCAACTAACAAAGACGAAATTGTTAGAGCTGGTGAAAATGCCATGAAGATTTTATATGATGGAGCTAGGGAGATAAATTTGAACATACTTAGATTTCACAAATTTGCAATCAAACCCATGTCAAGTTGATCTATTATTCAAGTTCAAATCCTTCCACCTACGTCTGATGCTGCGGCGCAACACTCTATACCGTCATATTTTCAAACACAAGCTTGGATTGTAAATGATAAGTTAGATCCAAATGAATTGGGACAAAATCTACACAACCCGCTCCTCCAGATTTTCTTTTAAATATCATCAGATACAATTGTAAAAAAAATGCGACTCTAAGAGATGTACCTGTCACGAACTTGATCTCAAATGTTCGGCTGGATGTGGAGAATGTCATGGTATTAGCTGTTCAAACTGTCGGTCTATTTCAGATATTGATTTTGCAGACATGGACGACTAGATCTTGTTTCGGCATAATGCTCTAAGAACTGAGTTATCAATTTTTACCTGTTTGTATCTGTTTTGTATTGAAATGTATTCATATTTTGTGTTGTTATTGGCAATGTAATGCATCTGGCATCTTGTTTGTACATAAGCAATAAGGGTTTCACTGTAAGTTATTCAGACAAATATGTTCTATACATTGAACAGTCTTATATGCCTCTTGAAGTAAATAAATGTAGTTTGTAATAAAAACAAAAGATTTATAATAATACACTGTTTGCTTGCCATATGGAGTAGTTTTTAAATATGGTAGCTATACTCTTTTATCGAGTGCCAAATTATACTTAAATTTGTGCACAATATTTACACTTAGTCTGGTGTCTATTACAGAACAATTAACTAGTACTAGCACCAAACTATGCGTTATAACTTAAATGTAGTAAAATGTATGAATCAATCTAACTCCAAAGGTACAATACATACTTATCAATGCTGTTTTATATTTGTTTGTGTTGCGACAAAATGTTTTTTTTCCTCTAATTGTCAATGTCAAAGTTCATCTTTAGTAAATTAGAAAGTATTACTTTGATGTCTGAAATACAGAACGATAATTTAAAATTTATAGAAACTTGTGGTCTCATGTATTGTAGACTGTCATGTGTTAGTTCAAACACGACAATAACCCTACCATATACTAAAGTGATTTAGGTGTATACATCGATATGACAACTATGTAGGTTAACCTGTAGATACATGTTCTTTATATCAATGCAGTGTTGCTTGCCAAATTAGGTAGCTCTTCAGTGCATTAGTAATAGTTTTATTCCGTGTGTAATGTCAAATTTCAACAAATGACACTTAAATGTATATACTACAATTTCTCCATAGTATTTTTCATCTATAGTTTTTGGTAATTGTTACTCGCTCTTAATTATACTTACATGTTGTTATTCTTTTTTTACTTTAAACAAAAAAAAAATTGTTCAAAATGCGTTGGACATGTTGGATGTTCAGAATGTTAGCTTGACAAAAGTGTACCTGAATTATTTAACATTTATCTAAAAACATAATTTACAATACGCATGTATGTCCATTTTAATTCATATGAATACAGCGGACATAATTTACAAAATGTTTCTTCATGCATAAATATGTCATTATGTTTTGTTTTACTGTATATATATGCATGGAATGGATGATTTGCTGCTTACATATCTCAATTTGACTGGTTAAAATGTGGGTGGGATTTGTCATAAAATTGCCTATCAAATGTTTTTTTTTAAATTCTAAACACATATATTTTGTATCAACATGGATGGAAATTTGATTGTATGAAGTTTGCATGCAATAATATGTTTAACTTATATATGGAAGTGTTTTTAGTATCATCGGACATTAACAGATACACCGATTTTATAACTGAAATTTAAGGGTGTCAACTTGAAAGCTAGAGTTATCACACTTCCCGTTCAGCAAAAGAGTGCAACTTTTTTCCTAATATCAAGCAGATATGATACTATCATAAAATACCCAAACAAACAGTTTTTCAATTAGTTCTAGGTTAGCTTATATATATGTATGAGTCATTTATGTAAATAACTTACCTCATCAGTGTCAGATGACCTTAAAGCCCTGCCCAGTCGACCATATTCCTCCCCAACCTTGTTCAAAGGACCAGCTTTAATAGAAAAATCGAACTGTTTGTCAATAAAGGAGGACATTTATTAAATCAGCCAAAAAAAAGAGAGTAAAAAATAGTATTTTGATATATATTTCGTAGGCCTTTGTGCTGTATGGGATCTACACAGGTTGGAAAGTGATTATGTTCACACTTTCGTTTTTACATTGAAATGTAACGGCTAAATCTTTAGTTTGGATTAACATTATTTATACTATAACATAGTAGTTAAGTGAGCATATATATTTTTATGTTAGCTAGCATCATTACTTTTGTTTGAATCTTGGAAAGTTTTCTTTGTTTTGTTTTAAAACGTACTAATTAAGTCTTTTTACATAAATAAACAATACTACGCGCATTTAAGATTTTGACTGGAAACAAACACTTATAAAGGACATCATCTGTTTAATTTAATTAATGCACATTCTCTGTTGAGTTTATGTAATTGATCAGTCTGTACAATACGAGTTTTCAACATCAAGTTAAATCTTGTTTAGATCATACGGAGGAACAACCTGTAGAGCAATATTGAACCAGACAAGTATAGATTGTAAATATTGAATAGTTGTTGTAATAGAATAAACTGACATTTTAATTTTATTCATAGATAAGATTAATATATTCTTTTTATTTCATATACTTGATAAACATGTATTTATGACTTACCCTGTGCTAGTCCAATTACTAACAACGCTATAAGTATAAGAACTACTTTCATGTTGATGCCAGAATGAAAATAATATCGCGTCTGCACGATTTTAAATACACAAACATGATGTCAAAATATAGGCATTTGTACAACCATTTGAAAAATACTTTTAAATCTAGAAAACAAACAGTAAATGTAGACTACTATGAAGCTACGATGATGCCATGGATTGACCAATTTTTAACTAAAACTGTGGTATTATTTTATGTAATTGTTATGTTTTAATAACAAAGCAAATCAACATGAATACGAGATAAATCAAAATAACCCGCTCGATTAAAATTAGGAGAAAGTGAAACATGACCGAAAAATACATTTTCAATTCTAATGACAATATGATTAATATATATGTCTAAATTTTAGATACAATGAAAAAATAGAATTAGATGAAAATGCTAATTGTATCATTACGTCAGGGAAAACAGGAATTGTATAGCTTGCACAAGAACAGATACATGAGCTTTAGACTTTAATAAAGAATAATGGTTGTTGTCTTGTAACAATGTTTCTTATTAAAAATGCTCTCATTTTAAAGTCTATATTGGAAAACGAGATTATGGAAAGACCATGTCTTCCATTGGTATTAAACCAAAACATCTTTGTTCAGTTGGATGTCTGGTAGTTGTTACTTACAAATGTTTGTTTAACGTCGGAACAACTAGAATCATAACTTAAAGACGTTAGATATTGAATCATTCTGCTGCGGCAATCTTATATGATTTTTTTTAAAAAGACGCACAATTGATCCTTGGAATCACACGATTTAATTTACATGTCCTCAATGAAAATAAAAGTACATAAAAAATGCACATACATCAGCCTTACACTTCAGGACCTATTTTAAATCTCTTGCTTGTTGCAAAATATTTTTATTTACATTTACTTCAAATGGAAACAAAACTGATCAGTAGAGGGGTGTGTCATAATCGAGGGCTTTACAGAGACTACCAGGCTAAAATTATATCATGCGTAAACGCGTTGTCCCCACCTAAAGGGGAAATGTTTTGCATTTGGACAAAATGCATCAATGAAAAAGCTATTGCATTGCATTGTCATAAAACATCCGATTTTTTCAATCTATCCATTTATTTTTATTTAGAAATTTTAAAACATTCGTTTTGAAGGTATATACATTTGTATCTTTTAAAGTTTTTAAAATTTTCTTTTGAGATGATTTGAATAGTGCTGTGCGGACATTGTTCTGGCTTTAAAAACTTTAATAGCCGAATTTTATATACTAAAGACAGATCACATGTGTGCTTTATATTTTCGTTAGGTTTTGTAACGTGTCTGATGTCTTATATAATCAGTTCATGCGCAAATTTAATGTTTTATTGTTGGTCCTTTGCTTATTTAAAGTTTATATATCGTTTATTCGGGATATAATCAGTTAATGTCAAACCATAACATGTACCAGCGGGTCATTTTACGCGTGCTTAAAACCTTGCTTGTTAGATATAAGAAGGCCATCATGTTAGATAACCTTGTCACGATTTCAAACGATCAACAAAACATAGGCACGTTTTCCTTTCTTTAATTTTTACAAGTTTAAAGAGTAATGTCTTTGTCCTTAGACACTGATTTGTTTGGTGAAAGACTCAACGTCTATGAATTATGTCATATAAATTATATCACATTTAATAGACTTGTGTATATGTATAGGATATCGACCGAGAACAAGGTCCTTCCGGTGCGCGAGACCGATCCAACTTACAAAGCGTCAAATATTGGCTTGCTTGAGTAATTATTAATCAGAAGCATTTGAGGTAATTCAAAAAGATTACTTTTTAACACAGCGAGTATGCGAGGTATGATCAAAAAGTTCTCGGCCAGATATACTTCTAGCCACTACACTGACATTTACACACAATACGTCGATTGAAGATTACTGACCGAGTAAAACGCGGTTTTAGACAGATTAAAAAAGATAAAACACGCTTTGATAAGTAGAGGGGTGTGTCATTTAGACAAAATGGACAAATTTGAAATCAGAGCCGTCATTCACTACCTCTGTAAGAAAGGGATGTCTCCCAAGGAAATCCATGAAGACTTCATGTAAAACGGGCTGCTGAATTTAAGACGGGCAAGGCAGGGAGGTTGGAGTTGATGAGCGGCCTGGGCGGCCAAAAGAGGCCACCAACGATGAAACTGCCGAAGACGTGCACGATCTGGTCATGTGCAACAGAAGGCGAGACCTGCGAAGCATTGCTAGGGAAGTGGGTATAAGCTTTGGTTCAGCTCAGGCAATTCTGATTGATGTCTATGTCATGTCAAAGTTTTCCGCTAGATGGGTCCCCAGACAGTTGACTGACGACCAGAAACAGACCAGGCTTAACATTTCAAGATATATCTTGTCTCGCTACAAGGATGAACCTAATCTTTTTTACCGGATCGTATTTCAGGATGAAGCATGGGTCCATCACTTTGATTCAGAATAAAAAAAAACAGAACATGCAGTGGAAACACCCTGGCTCATCCCATCCAAAGAAATTCAAGAGGATGCGGTCAATAACGAAAGATAAAAATGGGCCAGTTACATTCAATTGATATACAAGATGAATTTCAAAATTGTTTCTGATTTTACAGAAAGCCAGTATTGGAGGTACAGATTTATTTTTCAGCTGGATCTCGGTTATCCTAAACGTTTAAAAGGCTGGTACCGGAGTGTTCAGGCTGCTCTCCAAGAGTACAATGGTGAAATCAGAGTATTAAAAGTAATCATTATAATTTTAATCTGTTTCAACTCATAACTATAACATCTATTTAATAAATTGTTTATATGCAATTAGTTATTGAATTATAACAGTTTACAAAACATAAAATTGATATTGTATTTTTCATGTTTTGACTGTTGTGCTATTGAATGCTATTTTGTTACACATATTATTCTTTTTTGATATGCATGAACATCGTATATCATCGAAATTCAAATGTAACATTGTAGAAATGGCTCTTGCAGCAACGACCGTTCTATATGCATATATATCTCTATCTTTTGTTACTATTACAAACTTGTGAATAGTTGGAAATTGTCGCATTTGCCCTGTGAGCTTATAACACTTGTAAAAGTCATTATAGAAAAAACGACCAAGAATTAATGAAACACTGATTTTTACAGAGTATTTTATAGAATTCAATCTATATGTTTTTTCATATTCATATTTTAAATCAAGTTATAGATGCAAAATTATTTAAGGTTTAAGGTCCGATCTGGAGGCTGCTATACGTATTAGAAGACAATCATACTTTTTTTAAGGGAGGAAATTAAGTGATATTGTAGAATCTAATTTATAAATTAATTATTTAAAATGGTAAAGTATGTAATTTGCAATTTTGTGCAGAAACAAAACGTACGTTAACTAACATAAGTCTTTATAGCGCCAATTAAGCGTTATAGAAAATTTAAAAAATTGATTTATTTATTACTTTATTTATAAAGTATTTCTAATCATATAAACGCTGGCTCCAAATAGCAATCGTATCAGTTTTTTACACCCATACTTGGTTGCTGGAACATGCAGGAATTTATTGTTAAATTTTAAAGTTTTGAAAGTCTTTAATGGTTAATAGTTCATTAATTTGACTTCACTAAGGTTAGACCTAAATAGTTTAAAAGCCATACTAGATATACAGGACATACAAAAAAATCGTAATGGTTGAAATAAATGATATAAAATACTGGTCCTTGTGAAGTTGTTATATAGATTTGTTATAAAGTTTGAAACAGTAAATATCAATCAGCAATTGTTATGTAAAATAACCTAAATGTACTTCATATTTTCAGTTATTTTAGATACAATTACTGGTACAAAAAGATCGATTACAGAGAAGCTAAAGCAGGACCCTGGCTTGGTTGTGGACGTGTGGAGCCTAAATGAAGACGCTAGCTATAAAATATAAAAGTCATGATAGTCCATCCTGCATTTATAAAATATTTCAATTTGCTTTCAATTTCGTAACATGCACGTTACTTAGTCACTCTCAGAAAATTATGCTAGTGAATGATACGGATCACATTTCAGACACTCAGTGAATGTAAGATGATAAATCATGTATATATACATGTATGTATGTGTTAATTTGTATTTTCAAGCAAAAATGTATCATAGAAAGCAAGTGTAAATTGCGTACCAAACATTTGCAAGAAATGACTTTTAAGGCTTTTGTGTACTTTTGTAAAGAAAAGAATTTAGAAAAGCCACTTTTTAGCTCATCAAAATGTTTGGTCGTCCGTAGGTTTGCATCAATATTCGTCTTCTTTCGCTTTTTATGGATGACAAAAACGTGCCGCATTAAAGGTTCCATAATAACCGCCTTATGAACACATCCCCGGATGTTTCTTAATTCAAAATTTCAATTTTTTCATGTTTAAATGTTGGATTCTGCTTAAGCAGGGGCGCGATGGTAGCTCACTTAAACCGAGCCTGCAATGTTTTCAATTTTACCGTTTTGTGCGTTCTTTATGGTCCAACACACTATGACGTACTGGCTGGTCAACGCTCTCTGAACGTTTCAATGGTTCAATTTTTGAACGTTCTCGAATGAGATTGACACATCTAGCGTGTGATTAACGTGCGTCTAACACATTACTAGCGTGTGTCTAACGCACGAGAAGCGTGTAACAGCGACCAAGTAAGATATGTTTGAAACCCATAAGTTTGTGCTAACGTACCACTGGCGCGGGACAAACGTTTTGTCAACACCTGACGAGCGTTGCGAACGTGTGACTAACCGTATTGTTCCGCTGTCCTGGTCCCCTACGACTTCGTTCGCTGAACAATAGACAACAGTAACCAATAAATTGATGGTTACCGTTGTCAACTGTTCTGCGAATGCAGTCGTAGGAAACCAGGAGAGTGGAACAGTACGATGTATGTTTTGTACTTTCGTTTTCGACAAAATGGCCGGCCATCAAGATTTTACAAGAATTTTGCAAGATTTTAACAAATTGGAGTGTCGGAGTTATGATACAATACTTATTATGTTTTTCCGCATTTATATTTCCAACGCAAGTTGTGATTTGAACCAAAATGAAGAGGTAATAATAATAATAAAAAAGTAATAATAATAATTAAATAATTTTGTGCATTATTCTCTGGCAAGTATGTGAAATTCATATAAAATGAATTAAACAAATATTCCAAAATAAACGACAGAAATAGTCCGTGGAAGAATAATTCTCCAGACAATAACCTACTAACAAAGTCTGCAACACATACGCCAAACTTTTGAACAAGCTCGATTCGATGCATACTGTAGATGCATATGTCGGTTTGTATACTGGTTGATATGCTATGATATAAATGCTGTTTCAGGTAGTCGGTTTTCAAAGTATATAAGTATAATAAGATAAAATAACAATTTTTAGATTATAACTTTTTTTATTAAGACAATAAGTGTCTATGTCATCAACGGCACATCCTACCGGAACATGCTAGATTAAAGCTTTCAGTATCCGATAGTCATTAACTGGTTGATGGCAAAAACACTTATACAATGAATATGTCGTTAATGTTAAAATGAAAATAATTACCTTATACGTGAATTACATATTGAACAAGAGATTATTAGCAAATATCATTTAGCAAACACATTAACAAATTTCGCTATGAATTACATAGTCTAAGACCTAATCAATTACATAGACCTTATAAATATTGGAATTTCAGAAAATGATTATACGAATGCTTCTCTGGTAATAGAAATATTTACACATATATTTACTTAATTTTATGAATATGATATCTGAGATGATCTGGAAATAGAACCTCCTCATACAATTGAATGACTACTTCTTAGAACAACCTGAAAAAAAATTACAATAATCTTTGTTATTATGAAATAAATTACAAACAATATTAAAGTTAATGAATAAAACTTTACAATCTATGTAAACATAACTTATCACCCCTTTTCTAGATTTATGTACTTCATATCAGCATGTGGGTGTTAAGTTCCATGTGGCAACTGTAAAAAGTTGCTAGTGCTGTTATATTTTTCTGATCCATAGAGATCATTGATTCCAGCACGCTAGTGTTAAAGATTGAATACCGCTTAGATCGTTGCCAGGGATCCTTAGAGATGTCGCACTCTTACATTATATCTCATGAACAGACGAGATCAAACCTAGTCTGCACATAATATTATTGTTTCATTGCTTCCGAGGGATCACCTCTTTTTGTAATGGTTGGTTTAATTGCTTGGTTAAACGGTCTTGTACTCTTATTCCTAATCATAACCATGTATGTCTAGAAATGGTTTACAAACGCTCATTTAATTGGTCAATGAAATAGATATGTATATTGTCAATCAAATTTAGCGTAATGATAATAGATTTACATTTAATTTGTGTCATATCATTGCATTTGTATTTTCTTGCCAAACAATTTATGTATTTTTTAAGCGAACTTTTATGCAACCGAGTACTTACATGAGTTCAAGAAATAAACAACAATGTAACAGGTGCTCTACTGTTTTGGATGTCAGATAATGATGACATCTCACTCTACTGGTTCCGGAACTTTAGGTGCCTGTAGTAAAGTACAAAATAAAATGTCTAAACCAGTATGCTATTTATTTATTTAATTCATTCATTTTCATTGCCACGTTTTATGATTGAAATCATATGCAATATGTTACAAGTAAGCCTTATCAGTGAATCCATTTAACGATGATTACGTAACACTTTATGAACATGAACCGCTTGTAACATCACATTATTTCACTTTGGCATCAACAGTGTTTATGTGCTTTCCTTGGGCATTCAAGCAAGTACTGCATAATTGTCAAACTAAGCGTGAAATTTGGAAATGAAATATAACATTGCGCTGAATCAATTTAATAAAACTTAGAGATCACCGTACATTTATATTTGTAAAAGAAATCTAAGATCAATGCAGAGATGAAATCTTGCACATAAAAATGAGTCACATATGTAAAGAAGTTACCTCATCATTTTGAGATAACCATCCTTAAGCCCTGCCCAGTCGACCATACTCCTCTCCAACGTTGTTCAAAGGACCAGCTTTAATACAAAAATCGCATTGTTTGTCAATAAATGAGAAATTTATTCAATCAGTCAAAAGAAAAAAGAGTAAAAAATACAGAATACAATTTTGTTATTTTTTGTAGGTCTTTGTGCTGTAGGGAATCTTCGCCGCCTGACAAGTGGTTATGTTCAGTTTTTCGGTTTAAATTGAAACGTGATTTTGGATTAACATAATTTATAATCTATTCTATGGCATAGTATTTTAGTGAGCATTTATATTTCTATTTTAGAATCATTGCGTGTGTTTTACACTTGGAATATTCTATTATTCTTTTAGTTTAGAACGTAATAATAAAGTATTTTTACATAAATTAACTACATTTCACAAATTTAAGATTTTGGTTAAAAACAAACGCTTATAGGTTACATCATCTGTTTCTTTTACTTAATGCACATTCGTTGTTGAATTATGTATTGAATCTGACCTGTTTTGAACTGTAAAATACAAGATTTCAACATCAAGTAAATTCCTGCTCAGATATAACATAGATGAACATCCTCTACAGCAATATTGAACCAGGATGGTAAATATTGAACAATTGTTCTAATAAAATAAACTGCTTTTACTTCCATTCATTAATATAAGATTAATATAATCATTTTATTTCAAATGTTGTATATTTTTATCACTTACCCTCAGCTCGGCCAATTACCAACAACGCTATAAGTATAAGAACTACTTTCATGTCGATGCCAGAATGAAAATAATATCTCGTCTGAACGATTTTAAATACAAAAACATGATGTCAAAATATAGGCACTTGTACAACCATTTCAAAAATTCTTTTAAATCTAGAAAAAAATCTGAAATGCGGACTACTATGAAACTATGATGATGCCATACGGAAATTTGCTTTAAATAGTGAAATATAAGAGATATCATGAACCGTTTCCTGACATCACACATGGATTTACCCGTTTTTTTAACGAAAACTGTGGTATTGATGTTTTTTTCTCTTTTGTATCATAGGCAAACATAAAAACACGTTCCCTGTTGTCACAATATGAAACCACGGGAAAAAGTAACCAATGAACGAGCATCTGAATAAGATACTTCGTCCACACTTGTTCGTTAACACTCTAGCGGTCACATTTTTGCCTCAATCATCATCAAACTTGGTCAGGATGTTTATCCAGGTAATAGCTCGAATGAGTTCGAACATGGGTCATCTCAGATGTAAAACTAGGTCACCGGAGCTAAAAATAGAAAAACTTTGTTAACACTCTAGCGGTCACATTGTTGCCTCAATCATCATCAAACTTGGTCAGGATACTTATATAGGTAATAGCTCGGATGAGTTAGAAAATAGGTCATCTCGAATGAAAAACTAGGTCACAGGAGCTAAAAATAGAAAAACCTTGTCAACACTCAAGCGGTCACATTTTTGACTCAATCATCATAAAACGTTGTCAGGATGCTTACCTAGGTAACAGCTCGGATGAGTTCGAACATGGGTCATCTCAGATGTAAAATTAGGTCACAGAAGCTAAAAATTAAAAAAAAAAACCTTGTTAACACGCTAGTGGTCACAGTTTTGACTCAATCATCATCAAACTTTGTCAGGATGCTTGTCTATGTAATAGCGCAGATGTGTTAGAACATAGGTCATCTCGGATAGAAAACTAGGTCACAGAAGCTTTAAAATAGAAATATCTTGTTAACACTCAAGTGGCTACTGTTTTGATCCAAATATCCTGGAAATTGGTCTGAAAGTTTGTTTTGATGATTTCTAGGTCAACTTTGAATATGGGTCACCTGAGGTCAAAAACTAGGTCACACCGCCCAAATATGGAAAAACCTTGTTAACACTCTAGTGGTCACATTTTTGACTCAATTATCATTAGACTTGATCAGGATGCTTGTCTAGGTAATTGCTCGGATGAGTTCGAACATGGGTCATCTCGGATGAAAGACTAGGTCACAGGACCTAAAAATAGGAAAATCTTGTTAACACTCTAGTGACTACTGTTTTTATCCAAATATCCTGCAAATTGGTCAGAAAGTTTGTTTTGATAATTTCTAGGTCAAGTTTGACATGGGTCATCTTGGAGGAAAAACTAGGTCACAGGAGCTAAAAATAGAAAAACCTTGTCATCACTCTTGTGGTCATATTTTTACTAAATTATCATTAAACTTTGTCAGGATACTTGTCAAGGTAATTGCTCGGATAAGTTCGAATATGGGTTATCTCGGACGAAAAACTAGGTCACAAGAGTTAAAAATTGAAAAACCTTGTTTACACTCTAGTGGTCACATCTTTGACTCAATTGATAATTTCTAGGTCAAGTTGGAACATGGGTCATCTTGGATGAAAAACTAGGTCACAGGAGCTAAAAATAGAAAAACCTTGTCATCACTCAAGTGGTCACATTTTTGACTCAATTGTCATCAAACTTTGTCAGGATGCTTGTCTAGATAATTGCTCGGCTGAGTTTGAACATGGGTCATCTTGGATGAAAAAGTAGGTCACAGGAGCTAAAAATATAAAAATATTATTAACACTTTAGTGGCTACTGTTTTGAGCCAAGTATCCTGAAAATTGGTCTGAAAGTTTGTTTTGATAATTTCTAGGTCAAGTTCGAATATTGGTCACCTGGGGTCACACTGCTCAAATATGGATAATCCTTGTTAACACTCAAGTGGTTAACAAAATCACACTGTTCTCAAATTTTCTAATAAAAAAAGCTTTTCTGATGTACAACATGTCACAGAGCTTTAAGGGATTAGAATAAACGTCTAACTGAAATGATAGTGCCATGTTTGAATATCATATTCTTTTTATCATTATCTAATTTTATCTTCATAATAAATAACGTGTCCATGAGCCAGTATATAGTCGATCGTTTGTAAAACTTAACCGTTGAAAGAAGTTACCACTGAGGCAGTGTCACCTACTTCATTTGCTCCTCCTCTGTTGGAGTTCGGCTCCGCCTTAAATTGTCGCGAAAATTTAAAATGATGCTCCGTATGCTAGCATTTAGTCTTCATTGACGGGGCAGAAGGGAACCAGGACAACTTTGATCAATATCGCTTGTCGAATCATTAAATTACAAGTCACAAAATCTAAACCACGCCCACTATCAGAGAGGTGGTTCTCCCGCAACCTCGTTATGCTACGGCCAGTAAGGGGAGATCACTGCAGAACTAAAATCATTCGAACATTATGCAATTCATGCCAATATTTAAATGGATATGTTCTGGGCACATATTGCCTTGAATTCATTTTAAGTATACAAATCATTTAAATCTTACTTGTTATTCAATTTATTCTGCTTCGACTAGACGATTAAATCTTTGTCGCAACAGACAAACATTTTAGAATTTCAGACATGACATTACTTTGTGAATTTATGCATTAGGTTCTACTTTTTCACAAAAAATGTGCGACTTTATTATTTAACAACGAGCACATTCCAAGAACATGGAGAAAAAATTGATTCGTGCTTCGGATATTTAACTGTAATAGAGAACGATTCTCAATGCTCATTCACTGTTCAATGCTCATTCACTGTTCACATCATTTGGTGGCGTCTTTGATGTGCAGCATCAACATTTAACTTGTAAATATGCTTAATATATATACCACATATGCAATCAGTCATTCACAAATATCAGCCATACTAGGAATAAAGCATACACGCTTTATGTTTAAGGGATCCAGCAACACAGGACTACCGGCAAGGAGACCAGCAGGACACCAACGAAAACTGGACAGGGCACAAGGCAAAAACGGATGGGGTGATTAATTTAATAATACGTTATAAAACCTTTTGGAAAGTCTGTTTTCTTGTTAGTAAATGTTGCAGAAGACACTTGTTAGTATCGTTGCAGATGACACATATCGTTTGAGCATTTTTGTTGATAAAAGTGCGTTTTTATAACAAATGATAGTTGTCAGAAACAATTCTCAATTTCTAATGTCTGTGGGTTTAATAAGATATAAATAACAATAACAAAATTATAAATAAGATTTTAACACCTTTATTAAGACAAGAAGTGTCTTTGTCATCAACGGCACATCCTATAACGGAACATGCTAGATTAAAGCTTTAAGTATCCGATAGTCATTAACTGGTTGATGGCAAAAACGCTTATACAATGAATATGTGTTTGTAATGTAAAATGAAAATAATTATCTCCCACATGTTATACATGTTGTACAAAAGATTTTTAGCATATTCAGTAACAAATTTCGCTATGAATTACATAGACCTAATCAATATGACTTATTGGAAACGTACGAATTCTTCCCGGTACCAGAAATTTTTATACATATATTGCGATATTTACAGACTTATGAATATGATATCTGAGATGATCTGGAAATAGAGCCTCCTACTTCTTAGAACAACCTGAAAAATAACAGAAATTAATGTTTAATCAATTACTTATTATTATTAATATTAATGTTAATGAATAAAACTTCATAATACATATGTAAATACGACTTATCACTCCATTACGAGATTGTTTTTGTTCTTCATAACAGCAGGTGTAACGTTTCATGCCACAACTGTAAGAATTTGCTTGTCCAGTATTGATGTATTTTTCTGGTAATTCGAGATTACTGATTCCAGCACGTTATTGTTGAAGATTAAATGCCACTGAAGCCGGTGCAAGTAATCGTAAAAGATGTTATACTTTTATATTACCTTTAATGAACAGACTCAATGATACTGGCTCTGCAATTTTGAAATATTATTGTTGTTTCATTGCTTTTCGAGATTGTGAGTTTAAATGTTTTGATAAAAATGTTCTTGTACTTTTATTCATAATTATGATTGAATAATTATGGCTATATGCGAAAGTCGACTTTAAATGGCTCCCTCTGATTTACAAACGCTCATTTAATTACTCATTGAAACAGATTAAGTTTCTTGTCAATACATACAGAATTTACAATATAAACATTGAATTTGTCTTAACACGTTCCATTTGTATTTTCTTACAAAACATACTTAAAAAAAAGGAACTATCAAATCGTACAACCAAGCTACTTACATGAGTTTGGGAAATACACGACAATGTAGTGGGTGCTCTACTGTGGTGGGTGTCAGACAATGATGACATCTCATTCTACCTTTATTGGTTCCGGTTCTTTAGGTGTTTTCTGTAGTTTAAGTACAAAACGAGTCAAGGCCAGAATGTATAAATATGTATGAAATTTATTTATTTATTTCTTTTCTCTTACCATATACTTTAATTTGATATCATATGTAATATATCAGATTCAGTTTACTGAATTGAGAGTGATAACTCTAATTCACACATTTTTTGCAATAGCCTAATTATCTTCCTGCATATTTTAAATAATGAACCACCTAAACAAAGTTTAGTTCAAAGAATTTACATTACACTACAAAAATTGTGTATTTAAATAGTAACTGGTACTTCTTTAAGGTCGTGAATGAAGTATACAAAACATGGTATTTTTCCACAGTCGACACTTAAATTCTTAATTAAAAAAGGACTGGAAAATCAGCATCAATTATTTATAATAACATCTACAATGTAATATGTTTTTTTTGTTGTTGATATTTAAATATTTCCAAAGTCAGTGGCCAGTGGTCAATACAATTCTATATACTTTATTGTAATTTAGTAAAGAGAACGTTTTGAAGCAGTCACATTCTGTTCTACTCCTATATTAATGGGTGACCATGTGCTTGTTTGTTGAAAACAAAGTTATAACATTTATATTTAACAAGTGTCGGGGATCATTGATGCCAGCACTATTAAGTTTTGAGAAATGAGTACCGCTCAAGCCGGTGCTAGGGGGCGTGAGGGATGTTGCACTTATTCATTATCCCTCATGTACAGACTCAATCAAACCGAGTCTGCAATTCTTATGTAATTTTGTTGTGATTATTGCTTCCGAGGGATCACTTTGTTTCCAGATTTTTATCTATGTGTCGGAGTTATCTCTCCGACCAGTATTGCAAAAATACCTTGTAGTTGAATACTTTCAACGCTGATTGTGTTCGTTTAATAAAATAACCAGTTGTGACGTCAAATTACTAGTATCATTTCACTTTGACGTCACAAGTGTTTTACTTGTTCAGCGTGACGGTCAGTCTAAGAGTAATTGGAAATATAATATAATTTATGTATACCATTGTGCTGAATAAGGTTAGACATCATCATAACTTGAAAAGAAATCTAAGTTCAATTGAAAGAGTAAATTCTAGATATAAATATGAGTCATATATGTAAATATCTTACCTCATCAGTGTCAGATGACCTTAAAGCCCTGCCCAGTCGACCATACCCATCCCCAACGTTGTTCAAAGGACCAGCTTTAATACAAAATCGAATTGTTTGTTAATAATGTAGAACCTTTGTTTAATTAGTCTACAATGGCTGACAAGTGATAATGTTCAGTGTTCAGATTTTTGTTTTTACATGGAAATGTGATTGCTAAAACTTTAGTTTGGATAATCATAATTTATAATATTGCATAGTATGCATTTACAGGGAGACACAAGCAAACATTGTATTTCTTTGATTCGAATTCTATAAATGTCCTAGAAATAAATACAATATGCAGCCACAGGAAAAGAACTTTTCTCCTAATAAGGAATAAACTGATGGTTTTCCTCTTTGACTCACATGAGTCAGGTTAGAGCATTTAGATTTCACATCAGTTGCTACTATGAAAACGCCAAAGTACCTGTCAAATGAATGACTAAGACTTATTTCAATCTAACAATATCCACAATATCTGTTATTGTAATTTCCAGAGTATTTTTTCTAGTTACATGACTTGTTTTAAAACTACTTGGTGACTCTGTCGTGACTCTGTCGGCATTTTAATTTCGTTCAACATATAAAGATATAATTACGCTTCAAGCCCAAAATATCGAAATTCATGCTAGGACTTTTGGAAATGTTATTTTGGCATGATTTGAGTAAATTAAATCAATGTAATATTTTTGTCATTCATTTGCCTAGGTATCCCTAGGTATCCCTTGAAATGAGAATATATATTTCTATTTCATCATCATAATTTTTGACACTAGGTAGATTCTCTTTCTTTTGGTTTATAACGTATTAAGCAAGTCTTTTCACATAAATAAGCTGCATTACACTAATTGAATATTTTGGCTGGAAACAAACACTTATAGATGACATCATCTTTTCGTTCTGTTTTGAATTCATGTTATGGTTGAACTGTACATTATGAGTTTTCAACATCATGTTAAATCATAGATGTACAACCCCTACAGCAATATTGAACCAAACAAGTATTGATTGTAAATATTGAACAATTGTTGAAAAAAATGAACTGAACTTTCAATCTAATTCATTTATATTCAAGTTAATTGCATATATATTTATTTCATATAATGTTTATTTTTATCACTTACCCTCTGCTCGGCCAATTACCAACAACGCTATAAGTATAAGAACTACTTTCATGTCGATGCCAGAATGAAAATAATATCTCGTCTGCACGATTTTAAATACACAAACATGATGTCAAAATATAGGCACTTGTACAACCATTTCAAAAATTCTTTTAAATCTAGAAAAAAATCTGAAATGCGGACTACTATGAAACTATGATGATGTCATACGGAAATTTGCTTTAAGTGGTGAAATATAAGTGATATCATGAACCGTTTCCTGACACCACACATGGACTTGCCCATATTTAACTAAAACAGTGGTATTCTCTTAATATATATGTTCCAATGTATAATTACAAAATAAATTAACATCAATACAAGACATTAATCAAAATAACCCGTTCGATTTAATTTGTTATCCATAATTTGTTACACAGTAAAATATGGCCATGTACAATTTCAATTAAATAATTATGTTAATTATATCTGTCTGGATCTAAGTAAAATACCATGGAAACCACCACCACTACAAGATCCACTTGAAAATTGGATTGCCTATTTCTAACTTTTGATTTATGTAATCAATTTTCAGTCGAGATATGCTTGCTCTCTTACAATCTATACGGATGTGTACTCCTGTCTACTTTTGGCTTCAAATCCACTGTTTCTGAAACCCTACATGAACATTGCGTACACGTAGAATTCTCGATTCTTTAATTTCAAAATGTATGACAGTTAGCATTAATGGGTTCCGTATATAGTCAATGTTGCTGTCAGGGTAGATTGGCCTTCAAAATAACATATTGATTAAAAATGCTCTCATATTAATTTTATATTGGAAAACAAAAATATAGAAAGACCATTGAAGTAAACAATCTTGTATTGGTAACCAAAATCTGTTTTCTGTGTTCATCTGGAGTTTTCTAACTGTTACAAATGTTTGTAAATCGCCGAAATAACTAGATAAATAAATTCACGACGTTAGACATTGCATTATGTAGAGGTTGATACTTGGTTGCTGCTCGACATTATGCGATAATGGCCCGAAGATGTGCATAATGGCCTGAAAGCCGCAGGTCCGAAGGACATTATGGACTCGAGGGTCACTATCGCATAATGGCGAGCAGCAACCAAGTATCAACGTATTTTATATCTATATCCGAAATACGACATTTAGATATCGGCGCTAATCTTAGTTGTCACCCTTTCTTAGAAACGGACAGTTATCAACATGTGCCTCCGATTAACTTTGGAAACAAGACAAAACAAAACAAATATGAGACAATGGCTGTTTTTTATGAACTTTTGTGCCTTCAAGAACGGTTTCTGAGACTGATGTCTACCTCTATTTGCCATCGATCCAATCTTTTTCCCACCGTCAAACTGAAATCATTATTGGAAGTTCTAGGGGTCATGTTTTGTCTTCGGTAGAGTTATTGTATTCTTTTTTGAGTTTATAAATGTTTGATGTTTAGCTTTGTTGATTGCGATTGAATATGTCATCTAAACATAACATTTTGCTAAAAGTGACTACAGTTCATTTAACGTTAGTAACCATCTTGAAAGTCACTGGGATTGATAACGTCATTTTACACGTGCGTTGATTTACCCGCCCATTATGGAAACATAATGCCGGGTAGCAAGGCGGCCGATATTGCATAATGACTTAGACCTTGAAATTATTGCCTTGAAATACCCTAGATTTTGTTATTGTAAATAGTAACATAGGTATTGCGTACTGATACAGTATTTTTTCTAAATTACTGGGATTTGATAGCATGTCCTCCAAATATTTAAAACCAACGCAAATTGAAATAATAGATGAAGTTTCACTCTTACATTTACTCAGGTTAGCTGGAGACATTCAAATTACTCGCTCATGATAAGCACCGCCTATGTTTGGCCATTGTTTCTAAAGACACACAGTAAAGTTGTCTAAGATTAATATCGAAATAGTCAATATTGATAATACTTAAGATATATTCATTAGATATGCAGCATAAATATCAGACTTTGTCCTGTTTTTATAAAAGTTACAGTTATAATTTTCTCCCCAGACACATTAATTTAAAGGATTAATATCGAATGGTTAGACATATTAAATGCAATATTTGTTGAAAATAAATATCTAATATTAGATAGGTGAACGTTGACAACAATCCATTGTTATAGGTGATCCTAAGAGCAAAACACATGCGCAGCTGTTTGTCTTAAAACTTGCTTTATAAGTTTGACGTATTTTTCATATGTCATTTTTACAATAAACTAATCCGTGTTTATTTGGGATCTTTCAAATAAATAATGAGTATTGTAATAAATATGTTTATAAATACCAGGTATGCAAGCATTCATTCACAAATATCAGACACCCAAGGAATAAAGCATACACGTTTTATGCTTCATGAGGGATCTACAAGTTTCACAAAAATACGTTAAAGAACCTTACATAAACATTGGTCATGTGACCTTTGAATGTCTGTTTTCTGGATAGTAATGGCAACAGCTGAGTATTTTTGATGATAAACAAATGATTGTTGTCGGAAATAATTGTCAATTTTAATATTTGTTTAAAGATATAAATAACAATAACAAAACAACAAACAAGATTTTAACTACTTTATTAAGACAAGGAATGTCTTTGTCATCAACGGCACATCCTACCGGAACATGCTAGATTAAAGCTTTAAGTTTCCGATAGTCATTAGCTGGATGATGGCAAAAACACTTACACGATGAATGTGATATTAATGTAAAAACGATGTAAATAATATATTGCAGATAATATGATTATATATACAAAATAAAGGATGCATGACAAGCACATAGATTTTACTACTAGTTATATTATTAATGCTAGGAATTCCATGGAAAAGAATCTTGTGAGAGTATAAGAAATGTTGCCGACATTTCGCAATGATTTTACAATTGTATGACATGATGTATTCACGATTGTCTGAACCCAGAGCATTCTTCTAGAATTTGATGATTACTTCTACGAACAACCTGAAAAATAAAAGTTAGTAATATCTAGTTAAGTACAATAAATAATATGTTTAATAACAGTATTTTTCATGGTCTATGTAAAGCCGTTCTGTAAGTTTAAAAGCGAAAATAGCGTAGACATATTCATTTTCATTCACTCCTTCACTCTAACTAAAAAATATTTTAATGGTATTTGTAGTAATTTCTTGTCTTTCAATAGTACGAGTAAAATGTCATTTTTGTCATTTATATATATGGATCAGAACTTTGTATTTTTATTTTATTATAAAACATATCTAATGTGAACTATATAATATAACCGTGTACTTACATGAGTTCGGGAAATAAACAACAATGTAGTAGATGCTCTATGCTGGTGGGTGTCAGACAATAATGATGTCTCATACTAGGTCAGGCTCTTTTGTTGCCTTCTGTATAATAGTTCAAAACACAACATATGTCAAAGCTTGTGTAAACAATATAGTTTCTTTTTTTTATTCAAATAAAAATTTTAGCTATGCACTTTGATTTTAATCTATAGTAAGCACAAATTACTGCAATATCAATAGTAAAGTTATATTGGTTAAAGCTGTTACATTTTGGTTAAGTAAAGTTCACTGAAATTATTATGCCATATTAAGTGTTTGTGTAAGATAAAAGATTTGCTAAAATCAATACAAAGTTCTTATATGTACATAATATAAGTCACAAATTATAAATCTCGTAAGTTACCGCATCTAATCGAGATAGTCCTAAAGCCATGCCCAATGGACCATACTCTTCCCTGACCTCGTTTACTGGATCAGCTGTTAAAGATTAAAAAAAAAAGAAAATTAAAAGAAATCAACGATGTATTCTATCATTAAATTCTCAAAGACGTGAGTACATGACAGAGCTGTGCAGCACCATATTAAGTAATAGTCAGGTAAAAAATGTATAGATTGTTCATCGGAAAAAACACATACACACACAAAAAATAAGAGATACCCCCCCCCCCAAAAAAAAAAAAAAAAAATAAATAAACTAGAATCAAAAACAAACAAACAAAAAACAAAACAAAAACCAAAAACAAAACAAAAAGCAAATAAAAAAACCAAACAGAAATCAACAATAACAACAAGACAAAATGACAACAACCAAAAACAACAACGAAATACCAACGCCAAAAAACAAACAATAAAAAACAACAACAAAATATCAACAACAAAAAATCAACAATCAAAAACAACAAATAAAACTAAAACTATCGTATGGGATTCATACCCCCACCAATGTCTTTGACAGAAGACGACTTGGAAACAAATACATAAACATAAAAAGAAATTATCTCTGGTGAAAAAAAAAGACAAATCGTACAGGTTATAAAATAAATATATATTGTCAAATCATGTTCGAAACACTTACACATAACCTTTCATTTTCCTAATGTACTAAAACAAACAAAAGCAGTGAAGTTAAGAAAATAGCAAAATTATGTCAAAATGTAACTAAGAGTGGAAAAAACTTTGCATACTAAGCTTACTTGTGATCCTTCATATATTAAATAGTTTCAAGTGAATATCTGTTCTAGTTTCAGAAACATTTAAGTATTAATGGTTATATCAGAACATTTTCTGAGCATAAAAGGGGCATAGCTTATGTCATAATTTAATGGAATTGTAGATTTTTCGTAATCTGAGCTTGCTTGTAACCATTCATATAAATTTTAAATTTCAAGTAAATATCTGTTCTGGTTTAAGAATATATAGTAAATAAATTTAAAGACATAAAAATGGACTTAACTTTGTCAAAATACAATACAAAGTTATCCCCCCCCCATTTTTTTAGTTATGAAACTTGACCTGCATATCTTACTTGTGACACTTCGTATATATTTGAAGTTTCAAATGATTATCTGTTCTAGTTTTAGAAATATTTAATCACATGTTAAAATTTAAGAACATTTTTCTAAGTCAATTTTTGACCTTCAAGTTCGGTCTTGACCTTAAGCTGGCACAAGGGTAGGATTGGTTCTGCACATTGCCTTGTTAGGGTGTACATTTGAGTCAAGTTTGAAGAAAATCCTTCCATTAGTATAGAATTTATAGAGCGGACACGACATATTGTCTTGTATTGATTGTATGTGAATTTGAAGACTTAAAAAAGGACATAACTTTGTCAAAATGCAATACAGAGTTATGAAACTTGACCTGCATATCTTACTTGTGACACCTCATATATCTTTTAAGTTTCAAAAAGCAGTGCTTGTTTCAGAAATATACATGTTAAAATTTAAGAATATTTTCTAAGTCAAAATTTGACCTTCAAGTGGTACCTTGACCTTTAGCCGGCACAAAAGTAACATGGGTTCTGCACATAACCTTGTTGAGATGAACATTTGAGTAAAGTTTGAAGAAAATTATTCCATTAGTATAGGATTTTTAGAGCGGACAAAACAGATTGTCTAATATTTGATGGAGCTTAACTTTGTCAAAATGCAATACAGAGTTATGAAACTTGACTTGCATATCTTAATTGTGACACTACATATATCCTTTTAGTTTCAAGCAAATACATTCTCTAGTTTCAGAAATATTCAAATACATGTTAAAATTTTTAAGAATATTTTCTAAGTCAATTTTTGACCTTCAAGTGTGACCTTGACCTAAGCCGGCAAAAGGGTTACATGGGGACTGCACATAACCTTCTTGAGGTGAGCATTTGAGCCAAGATTAAAGAAAATCTTTCAATTTGTGTAGGACTTACAGAGTGGAGACGACATACTGTCTTACATTTAATTGTTTGATATATGACATTCAATTCTAACCTTGACCTTGAGCTGACACATGGGCAACATGGGTTCTGCACATCCCCTTGTTGAGGTGAACATTTGAGCCAAGTTTGAAGAAAATCCTTCAATTGGTATAGGATTTATAGAGCGGACACGATAATGGAGACGGACGGACCGATGACCTACCGACGCGACAAAGCAAATCCATTATAGCACCCTACACACACACATTTTGTTGTTGGGGTATGACAAAACACTAAACAAGTTATTCGTGTTGTTGAATCCTTAAACTGTACTTTTTGTCATCATTCAGTACTTTATCATCTATATATATATAATCATAAGGTAAATAAAGTTATCACTTACAATCTGCCTGCCCAATGACCACCAACGCTATAAGTATAAGAACTGTTTTCATGACGCTACTAAAATGAACATATTATCTCGTCTCCTCACTTTTTAAACAAAAGTAAGGCACAGGTACAACCAGAGGAAAAGTACTCTTAGATTTACAAATAAAACAGAAATGATTTAATATAAGATATATCTGAATTTAAAATAATAGAATTCAATAAAAAACATTTTTAAAGATGTTTACTTAACTGAATAAATGACAGATAATTCAATTAACTATCTCGTTGAAGACAAACTAGTTTTAATATTTTTAAATTAGCATATGTAATTCATTAACAAATTATGTCACCATCCTCGAATTTATAGAGAATTTGCACATAATGGAAAATATGCAATACCCTTCATAATACTGTTGATGGTATTTAGTAACACATGTGACAAAAAAAGTACAAACGAATAAAATATTGATGATGTTGGTAAGTGTGAGATACATGATCCGATATTGCATATTACTATATAGCAGATAATAAAGTGTTCTAGAACAAAATATTACTTTTCTTCATAAAATTGTTCACAATCAATCAATTAGAACTGGGTCAATATTTCTTGTTCAAGAAATATTTTGCTGAAATATGTTTTGAAAATATATACCAATTTTGATCCAGTTCTCTTTAACATGTCTGTATTTACTGCGTCCTATTCTATCACACAGAACGTGCAAATGTGATGGTGTCACCAATGACATCATCTGATAAAACTTTTATTTCACTTAGTGATTGTTGAGCGCCTTCAGTGATGTTTTATATTTCTGGTCCTTTGAGATCATTGATTACCAAACTATTAGTGTTAAAAAAGTGGGTACCGCTCAAGACGGCGGTGGAGTGTGAGGGATATAGCACTTTATTATCTCTCATGTACAAACCCAATTAAACCGAGTCTGCAATTTTAATGTAATTCTGTTGTGATTAATGCTTCCAAGGGATCACCCTTCTTCCAGTTTCCCCCCCAGAACTCCAACCACTCCATACCTAAAACGTAAAGGTTGCTAACATCTGGCGACTGGCATTCAACCGGGGGGGGATTGATAACTGGCTCACTTGGAATCGGCTACGAAATTCATTCAGATCAATTCTCAACACTTTGTTATAAAATTTCTGCCTTGTAGCATTTTCACGGCAAGCGATGGCGTAATAATTAAGGTGTTTACCGTTTAACCAAAAGAGTGCAGGTTCTCGCCATACTTCGGCTTTGTATGACACCAGTAATGGTTATTTCTAGGAAATTGATATCGTTTAATCGGGATATAATTAATGAATGTCAGGTTTACGGTTACGAACTTTTAACTATTTAGGGGAAATAGTGTGTAAACGGCCATTCGGTAGAATATGATAAACAAGATCAACAAGGAAAGGCAGCGTTCAATGGACGGAATTCCAACACGTCCCAGCAACAAAGGCTCCAGCCAACAGCCCAGGAGGACCTAAACAAAAACAGGACAGGACATAAGGTAGAGCTGCGGTACGGTATCCCGAGGCTTCCGGGTTCAAGTCCCGGTCAGGCTGCACAATTTTCTGACCCTGTCTGTATATAAATAAGACACATGGTGCACAAAACGACATTGATTTAAGCGTACCGTCTTGTCACAATAATCTAGTGAAAGGGTGATTCCTTGGAACCATTAATCGCAACAAAATCACATGACAATTGCAGACTCGTTTTTGACTTAGTCTGCACTTGAGGGATAATGAAAATGTGCATCATCACTCACCCACCTTGCAACGGCTAGAGCGGTGATTTCCAACACCTAAAAGTGCTGGAATCAATGCTCTCGAAAGATCAGAATAGTGTAAAAACAATGAAATGAAGTACGGGGCAACCATTTACAGCTGCTACTCGACACTTTACACCTGCTGATGTGATGTGAAAGGGTGATAACAGAAACATTAATCGCAACAAAATCTCATGAAAATTGCAGACTCGGGTACAATTAGTAAGGGCGGAAAGCTTCCCCTTTAATGTCAACAACTAAGCAGCTCTAAACAGACATTCGTCTAGGTAGCATTTTATTCGGCTGTTCTAAAGATAAATTTCATAAAAATACCATGAGGTAAGATAGTCTTGTCACGTTGTTTTTAATGATCAACAAAACATTGGCACGTTTTCTGTTCTTTAATGACGTCAATGTCTTTGTCCTTGAACCAAATAATAGGACACTACGTTGTTAAGTGCTCAACTTTACGTCTAAAAACATTTTTTATACGTATATAACATTGGATAGACATTACAGAAATTATGCAAGTGTCAAACAAACAGGTCGAAAGCGTTTTGAAATTCATAAAGAATCAATGAGAATTAATTCATAATTACATAAGACTACAATATGTATATTTTCCCTTCTTTTATTTTTTCGTCTACGGTATATTCCCTTGTGCCCCTAGTTATGTTTTGTTTATTTAATTTTGCCCGCTGCCCCCTTCCGATACACCCCTTTACTTTTAAGGCCTATTAAATTAATCAATAGTCTTCTTTGGTTTCCTTGTCGGTTTCTATTGTTTTTTATTGTGTGTTGTTGGGGTGTCATCCCGTCCGTGCTTTGCCGCGTGACATATCCTGATTTTGTTTGGTGTCCTGAACTCCTTGCTGGTCGTCCTCTGTTGCAGGGTCGTGAAGGGTTTTGTTCATTGAACGCCACCACTCCTTGTTAATCTTGTTTTCCATATTTTAACATTTTCGAGACAGTTTAGATAGATAAAGAGTTTATAATGTAATGTTGTAATTATCATGTAGATTTCTATCAAATTCATAGTTTCCCTATAACACAGCCATTACAAAGAGCCTTCCGTATACGATGTAAATGTAGAAAATATTAAAGGCCCATTATGCCTCAGAAATGCTTTCATTTTTAATTCTGAAAAGCTTTTTTAAATTTTGATGTCCTTTTACAGTTTTGAAAAACATACTCATTTGCCATATACATGAACTATATTTTGCTTCTTTAGCCCTTTTGGCAATGGGTATAATTATAGAAAAGAAGTATTATGTACGGGAGTCAAAATATCTTTTTGTTAACATATTGCTACTTTACGACACATTACTGCACTTTAAGCGCTACTTTCGTTGTTCAACATCTAACATGCTCCTTATCCATTATTAAAACAATATTGAACAAATGTTTGACATTTCTAAAGAACTGAAAAATATGAATTTCCGAATCATTATGTGCCTTTAAACTTCAAAGTGTAAATGAGTACAAGTAAGTAAATATGCCACTTTAATGGGTCCTTTTGCCAAGGGCAAAATTTGAAGATAACGGATCATATTGACACCGTCCACATAGCGTGCAAATGATGATCAGATTTTGAAGATAAGCAAATCAACTCATTGCTTGTGCGATAAGGGACAGAAGCATTTCCGGTGGACAAAAGTAATACATTTTGTAGATCTTTTTTGTTGTTTTTTTTTGTTTTGTTTAGTTTTATTCTTCCGTTTGGTTTTCTTTTTCCACAACAAAATCAATGTTAGAAATGCTTTATGTTAGTCTCAAAATCATCACCATGTCTGTATCTTTCTTTTGAATATTTTGGTCTTTATCAACATAAACATTATAATAATACAAATAAGATCTGTTTAATTATAAATGTATTATCCTTCGGCGCAATATTTTCGCGTGTGAAATTGTATTTTATTTTTGTATTTCCTAGTACAAAAAATGAACTGTGCAAATGCAGTAATATGGATTAGTCTGATGAGGTAGGTTTACATGGAGCTTTATATTTTGAAAAAAAAAAGATAAGATGGACACCTTAAAAGAATGATAAACACATCGATATTGAAAATGTTGTTTGCTCAATTTAATTGAGTCTGTTCATGGACGTAAGTGGTAAATGATAGGCATAGTCCACTCCTCCCCGTAGCACCGGTTTAGGAAGACACAATATTTAGAATGAAAATGGTAATAAATGTAGTTTTCAAACAACCTTATGGAATGTCCAGATATATTGGGCAATATAAGGCACATACTAGTTCATTAGCAAATTATATAATATTAGAAATGATTTAGGTATACCAATTGATATACATTGTATCATTATATCATTTTATCTGGAGTGAAAATAGTATTTGCAATGATCACCTATATGTATAAACTCATACAATTAATTTGTTCAAAATACAATAATTTCGAAAATTTCATTAATATTTCTTATTTAATATTGTCTTGTTTGCTTTAGTTTCATTAGTTCCGGATTGTTAGCGGAACAAAGTAAACGGAATCATCTGAATACTTTAAATTCAGTCAACCATGAATTGGAGCTGGAATTCAACTACATGGATGTCAATAACAATAGCCTGATAGAGCTGGACGAATTTGATGCCGTCATAAATGTGCAAGATGCTGACAGTAAGTTAACTGATTTGTATATAGTGGGATTAAGATTGTAAGTATAATGATAGACGGGAATATATACCCAGTGGTCATTGTTTGATGATGCTGGCTGTGAATGTTCATCTGATGACATTATATAACAAATCATTGAAATGGTCAATAACAGAAGACATGGTATATGACAATATTTTTGTTTGTTGATGACTATTTTTGATCAGCTGTGATATCAATCTATCATAAGAAATACTGTAGGCGATGCTAGAAAAGAAAAAATAACGTGCAGGGAATGCATCTACCTTATTATCCAGTCACATGGTCAATAAAATTACATAACTAACTGGGAACGGTCCAAAATGTGGCGCTTCTTTCCAACAAATCTAAAAAATTAAATCACAGTAAGCTTTATTTTGTTGTCTCTTTTTTGTATTTTGTTTATAGAAAACGGATGTGTATCTCTAAATGAGTTTCTTAGATATCACTATGGAAACGAACTGAAACAAGCATGGAATCTTTTCAATCATTATGATCATGATCAGGACGGATGTCTGGAGCTTTATGATATGATAGATGAATACTCTGAGATTGATGTCAACCGTAAGTTTTCATACTAACTTACCTTGCTAATTTGAAAGTATATACATGTACTTAAGACCAATCTTTCTCACATTCTCATAATGCGACTTTTAATATGTTTTAATATGTTTGCTTCTACGTGCATTTTACGTCTGATTAGTATATAGTATCTACAAATTTGTCAAAATGTTTTAAATTTTATGCAAATAATAATTAAAAGTCAATTCGACGTAGTTACAGACTATGTACAGAGATTTGAATATTGACACGGTCCAAAATTTAACACTGATTGTCATGTCATTTTACACCCTAATAAGTATGACAGATGAAAGAGTATTTTTCTTTCTATAGATATATTTTATAAAAGATGTATTTTACAGCAAAAGATGGAGAAGTTACGCTCAATGAGCTAGAGGAGTACTATGACAAGGTAATTATCGCTAATTTACAAGTATTGTTCTGTATCTGATTGTTTTATAACGTCTTATTGCTTGTATAATACAAAAATCAAATATACATGTACATTTCTATATAATACAAATCAAATATACATGTACATTTCTATATAGTACATTTCTTAACAGTATATAAAATGTTTGAGCAAAAAGTATGTCAATAGTATCTGGACTTCTATAAGAGAAGATAAGAGTACTGGTTGGGGAACCACCAAATCATGACGACGGACAAACCAGGACGTCACCTGAAACAATTTATTAAGTCGTTTTCTCTCTTTCAATGGTTGTCAATCAATTAGTCGATTTTTATCACTAATAAATGCATGTTCTTTTCTATAATCAATTAATTAAATTGATTTTAACTTTCTTAAACGTTGATAGTTTTATCTCTATCACAAGACCGTTGACGTTGAGAATTCTGATGTAAAGTGTGCAATGCTTGACCTCTGTGACTGGCATTAATCATTTGCAGAGAAAACATTAGAACACTCAAAACTATTTATATCATGTTAACAATAATAATGAAACCAACAACACGATAGCCATTATCTGGATTAAATTAAATTCATACACATGGTACAGTAGTGAGAACGATTTACAATCTAACTCTTCTGTTTCGAATGGAACTTAGCTGTGGTGTGTCAAATTTTCAAGGTATCTCTCTTTAAAAACAAACAGAAGCTAACAACATGGTGATGAAGAGCGGGACATATTTTACAGTAACCACATACTACATAAACTGATGTAAACATTTATGTATATTAGATAGTTATAGATTTAGATATATTCTCTTTGTCATTTCAGTTGTTCAAACAGATTGGAATGATACCACAAGCCTGAAGTTAAAGATTTATTGATGGAGTGACACTGTATTTTTAAATTGTTTATACTTTGATTTGTTTGGCTTTAATTCGTAGAGTAAACGTGAAATGCAATGTTGTTGTTGTCTTTTTACTTCTATTTATGTGTAAACATACAAAAGGAGTACATCCACTAGCACCATTACAATTCAATGGCACATTTAGTGTGATACGATGCAAAATATCCAACTGGATATTTTCTTCATAGAACAGGCATCAAATTTTAAAAAAAATCAGGTTAAAGCAGAAAGGAGTAATGAATAAATATCAAAAATAGATACCGAAGTTGACATACATGTTTTACATAATGTGTATATACATATACCTAAACCGCACGCAAATTCAAATATAATAATAACATTATCTTAACTTCCTCCATTTCATAAAATAATGTCTAAAAGTTATATGTTAAGTGAGAAGCATAAATTTGATTATATATTTTTAAGGTATGGTTTCCAATAAGATTATATCATTTTTCATTCTATATGATTATATAATATGCATCAACATGACATTTTAAAAGTTTGGCAGTTCATACACTTCTCGTTTCTTTTACATTGATGCATTTTGAAAAAAAAAATAACAAAAAAAATTAACAAAAACAAAAAACAAACAAAAAAACATACAATAAAAGTAGGCTGGCAGGGAGACATTAAGACAATTGTCAATCCTCTAGACATTATCAACCAGTAGTAATATTAGTTTTTCACTATATATACAAATGTCAATCAAAACATCATATAAAACTATAACAAATGTCACATTCCAAAGTAATCAAGTAATGGTCCTGCAGAGTGATCTCCTCTTTATTTTTTTGTACGGAGTATTTTCATTGGTCTAAGGTTTTCACACGACCAATGAATTCAAATACTCCATACGAATGCATCCGTTTATACATGTGTACTTTCATTTTTGGATGGAGAATTTGGCAAATAAGAAAAACGGTTCGTTATAACTTTATATGATGTTTTGATTGAACAGTTAATATAAATAATAATATAATTTGATCATATTTATATACGCAATACAAAAAAATATTCATTCATTTCAAATAAACTGCCGTTTAGTCGGGTAAGTTTGACAAAACCCAAGCGGTCATGTCTCTGTCGAGTTACGCTTGTGGTGACTTCGAGGTTACATATCTTCTTATAACTTGAAATGATTGTAATGACAGCTTTATTTCCTTTAAGAGTAATCAATTCCCTACCATTTGGTACCAAGATATTGAAAATTGGTGAAAAAATGTTTGAGTTATGGAGTTCATATTAAGATGAGTGCTGAAAAATGAGCGGCGAGTTGCATACCTTTACTAAATATATATATAAATATTATCATTTTTTTATTTTTTTGTGGGAAATGAAGGTAATTGAATTAAAGGCATATACCAAATATTAAAACATGTTTCAAATGAAAAATGCTACATTTTACATGGTTTTGAGAGGTAAGGGGGTTGTAGAGTGGGTGAGGGGGGCCCGGGGGTAGTGACCAATTAACGCGCCAAACACCTGTTATCAGTAATGCCATGATCCCAATACTACCTTTTCTGTCAAATCATCAATAATGCAATAATCTCAATACTAATATTTCTGTCAAATCATCAATGATGCAATGATCCCAATACTAATATTTCTGTCAAATCATCAATGATGCAATGATCCCAATACTAATATTACTGTCAAATCATCAATGATGCAATGATCCAAATACTAATATTTCTGTCAAATCATCAATAATACAATTATCAAAATACTAATATTTCTGTCAAATCATCAATAACACAATGGGCCAAATACTAATATTTCTGTCAAATCATCATAATACAATGATCTCAATACTAATATTTCTGTAAAATCATCAATAATGCAAAGATCTCAATACTAATATTTCTGTCAAATCATTAATAATACAATGGTCCCAGTACTAATAATTCTGTCAAATCATCAATAATGCAATGATCTCAATACTAATATATCTGTCAAATTATAAATAATACAATGATCCCAGTATTAATTTTTCTGTCAAATCATTTATAATACAATGTTCTCAATACTAATATTTCTGTCAAATCATCAAAAATGCAATGATCTCTATACTAATATCTCTGCCAAATCATTAATTATGCAATGATCTCAATACAAATATTTCTGTCAACAATGATCTCAATACCAATATTTCTGTCAAATCATCAAAAATGCACTGATCCCAGTACTTACATTACTGTCAAATCATTTAAAATATAATGATCTCAATACCAATATTTCTGTCAAATCATCAATAATGCAATGATCTCAATAATAATATTTCTGTCAAATCTTCAATAATGCAATGATCTCAATAATAATATTTCTGTCAAATCTTCAATAATGCAATGATCTCAATAATAATATTTCTGTCATATCATCAAAAATGCAATGATCACAATACTAATGTTTCTGTCAAATCATCAATAATGCAATGCTCCCAATACTAATATAACTGACAAATTATCAAAAATGCAATGATAAATATACCAATATTTCTGTCAAATCATCAATAATGCAATGTTCCCAATACTGATATTTCTGTGAAATCATCAATAATGCAGTGATCTCAATACTTATATTTCTGTGAAATCATCAATAATGCAATAATCCCAGTACTAACATTACTGTCGAATCATTAAAAATACTATGATCTCAATACTAATATTACTCTCAAATCATCAATAATGCAATGATTCCAATACTAATATAACTGACAAATCATCAAAAATTCAATGATAAATATACTAATATTTCTGTCAAATCATCAATAATGCAATGTTCCTAATACTAATGTTTTTGTCAAATCATTAAAAATGCAATGATCTTAATATTTATATTTCTGACAAATCATCAATAATGCAATAATCCCAGTACTAACATTACTGTCAAATCATTAAAAATATAATTATCTCAATACTTATATTACTGTCAAATCATCAATAATGCAATGATCCCAGTACTTACATTACTGTCAAATCATCAATAATGCAATGATCTTAGTACTAATATTTCTGCCAAATCATCAATTATGCAATGATCCCAGTACTAATATAACTGACAAATCATCAATAATGCAATGATCTCAATACTATTATTTCTGTTAAAATTATCAATAATGCAATGTTTCCAATACTAATATTTCTGTCAAATCATCAATAATGCAGTGATCTCAATACTTATGTTTCTGTCAAATCATCAATAATGCAATGTTTCCAATACTAATATTTCTGTTAAAATCATCAATAATGCAATGTTTCCAATACTAATATTTCTGTCAAATCATCAATAATGCAATGATCCAAATACTAATATTTCTGTTAAAATCATCAATAATGCAATGTTTCCAATACTAATAATTCTGTCAAATCATCAATAATGCAGTGATCTCAATACTTTTATTTCTGTCAAATCATCAATAGTGCAATGATCTCAATGTTAATATTTCTAGCAAATAATTTATAATACAATGATCCCAATACTTATATTTCTGTCAAATCATCAATGATGCAATGATCCCAATAATTATATTTCTGTCAAATCATTAATAATACAATGATCTCAAATCAACATTTCTGTCAAATTATCAATAATGCAATGATCCTAGTACATATATTTCTGTCAAATAATCAATAATGCAAGGATCTCAATACTAATGTTTTTGTCAAATCATCAATAATGCAATGATTTTAATACTTATATTTCTGTCAAATCATCAATAATGCAATGATCTCAGTACTAATATTACTGTCAAATCATCATTAAAACAATTATCCCAATACTAATATTCTGTCAAATCATCAATAATGCACTGATCCCAGTAATAACATTTCTGTCAAATCATCAAAAATGCAATGATCCCAGTACCAACATTTCTGTCATATCATCAATAATGCAATGATACCAGTACCAACACTTCTGTGAAATCATCAATAATGCAATGATCTCAGTACCAACATTTCTGTCATATCATCAATAATGCAATGATACCAGTACTAACATTTCTGTCAAATCATAAATAATGCAATGATCCCAATACTAATATCTCTGTCAAATCATCAATAATGCAATGATCTCAATACTTATATTTCTTACAAATCATCAATAATGCAATGATCCGAGTACTTATATTACTGTCAAATCATTAATAGTACAATGATCTCAATTCTAATATTTCTGTCAAATCATCATTAATACAATGATCTCAATACTAATATTTCAGTCAATTGATCAATAATACAATGATCTTAGTACTAAACTTTCTGTCAAATCATCAATAATGCAATGATCTCAATACTAATGTTTTTGTCAAATCATCAATAATGCAATGATCTTAATACTTATATTTCTGTCAAATTATCAATAATGCAATTATCTCAGTACTAATATTACTGTCAAGTCATCAATAGTGCAATGATCCCAGTTGTAATATTTCTGTCAAATCATCAATAATACAATGATCTCAATATTAATATTTCTAGCAAATTATTTATAATACAATGATCCCAATACTTATATTTCTGTCAAATCATCAATGATGCAATGATCCAAATACTAATATTTCTGTCAAATCATCATTAAAACAATTATCCCAATAATAATATTCTGTCAAATCATCAATAATGCAATGATCCCAGTACTAATATTTCTGCCATATCATCAATAATGCAATGATACCAGTTATAACATTTCTGTCAAATCATCAATAATGCAATGATCCCAGTACCAACATTTCTGCCATATCATCAATAATGCAATGATACCAGTACTAACATTTCTGTAAAATCATTAATAATACAATGATCCAAACACAAACATTTTTGTCAAAGTATCAATAATGCAATGATCCCAATACTAATATAACTGACAAATCATCATTAATGCAATGATCCCAATACTATTATTTCTGTTAAAATCATCAATAATGCAATGATCCCAAAACTAATATCTCTGTCAAACTATCAATAATGCAATGATCTCAATACTTATATTACTGTCAAATCATTAATAATAATACAATGATCTCAATTCTAATATTTCTGTCAAATCATCATT